CTCTTATTTTGATGAGTCTTTACCTCTTGAAATTTACTGTAGCTAATGAAACAATCATAGCTTATAAATTATTAAACCCAGTCATTTAATGAATTGACTAAAACTGTTATAAATTTCTGTAGCTTGATGTAAGCAGTCTATGAAATGGTAGCATGATAGATCAGTTCAATGAAGTTCTGTAGCTAGCATGAATTGACCTAAAACAGTCAACGAATTGCTTGTATACTTGCTTAATAGATGATAAAAACCAGTCTATAAATTATTCTGTAACTGAAACTGTAAACAATTTGCTTGATGAAATCACTACTACCAGTCTATGAAATAATTCTGTAGCTTGATGAATCATAAACCAGTTCCATGATTTGTACAGGCATATTAAACAATCCATACGTTTTGATTTTCAAAGAGACCTCTTGAAGAATGGGTGATACAGAGTTTGCTTTGTGAGGAATTGATTTCTTCGAGGATGTATTACAACTGAATCTTGAGAGATCCTTTATTACACTTGAATATAGAACTGAAACAGAAAACAAAGTTATTAAATTTCCTTTTTTTAGATTATAATAATTAACTTAAAGTCAAGATGCTTAATTTCAAGCTATCAAAATTCAGATAATTCAATTAAGTGCTGTGTCAATAGCGATATTCAATATGCTTTAAAATGTTACAGAATTTGATACCTTCATTCAATGCTAACTCCTATGGCATTGACTTTTTGTTAATTATTAAGAATCCATAACTGTTAGAATCAAATGCTTTAGCTTTCTTACCAGTAAGCCCAGAAGCTACAACTTTACGAGGCTTTCAATGTCTTCACTGTTGGTAACTGGTCAGTATGTTTTTTTGTATTTTTACTATCCTCGAAGTTTTCATGGTTTTCATACTAAATAGGCAAATTGTAACAAAATAATTTTGCAGGTTTAAGAAGTCGTGGACCATAATATGTTTGACAGGATTAGGTATATATTTAGAATCTGAAGATTTAATTTATTGTACTTATTATTAAGGCAACCAATTATCTAACCTCTAAACGGACTCTGCCTTAGCTGCCACTTTCTCCGTTTTATGAATAAATTTTTCGAGGACCAAGCAATTATCCTAGTAATAATGTTTAAATATTTAATGTACTACCTTTAAGGCTTTCTTATTCGTCTTCCGTTATATCAAGTGACCGTCAATAGTTATTTGATGTATTAATGTATAAAAAGTAACACATCCTTAGCGCGAGCTTATGATGATAAACTATGCTACTGTACCTGCTTTAGAGGTTTTATTTTGATCAAGTAACATATTAAATCCATTCTACTGACGTTTGCCCCCTGTTATACACATCTAAACTAATGTAATTCAATGATCTCACAAATAGATTAAGCCACCGACGCTTTTAATTTTATTTTACAGCGTTAAAGAAATTCCATCGTGGTATTTTTGACTGCCATACCAACACTGGAAATAATTTAGATTATGCTTGTAAGTAATCATTTGACAAATAACTGTGTATTGTAGTTTTCAGATCATTCCCACGATTGATCCATCACGCCACCTGGCTCCGCTCCGCGCCTCCGCTCATCTACTTTACCAGGATACTCTCATTGAATTCCAAAGACTGACATATGACCAGCATTTGCAAACTCTTTCACTCAAACCAGCTAAAATTCAATCAGAAAATTGATATTCAATTTCTTCTCTGTGAGGTATTCTCTTCTCTCATCCTTTGCAGAGCGTTAACATTCGTAAACTGCTCATTTGCGTCTATGATAAAATTTCAATTCTAAATTTTTTATGATTTCGTGAGGCTGCGGCCTGTGCGAGCTTCCTTTTAATGTAAGCGTGTTCATCGAGTATGTATAAGCTGATAAAAATTCTTCATTGTTTTTCTTAAAGTTGAGCTAAACCAGTATGGTTGAATTAGGAAGCGGACTTGAAGGCTAATATAAGTTTGAGAAGACATGCTTTTGCAATAGAGTTAAATAAATATGTTGAACCAATGAGCTAAAGAAAAAGAAGGAAAGAAATTTAGTGTATTGATGATAATATTATGTGTACAACTTCTGGATCTTTGATTTGACGACATATGAAACTCTCTAAACTTGCTGTATCCTTTTCTACTCATAGACAAACATCCATCTCTTTACAAGTAATTGCATATATTAAAAATACTCTTATTATTTACACTAGATGGTGGTACATAGAAAGGTCTTCGTTATTTAAGTTCACACATGAAACGCTGTTTTAAATAATACAGAAATAGAATTTTTTCATATATCAACACCAATAGATTCTTTCATGTAGCGCGAGTACTCCTCGAGGTACGTAACAGTTGGTTGTATATTTCTCTCTTCGAGTTGATCTTAGTGATCTGTTGTTCCATGCATGAATGGATTGTCTCATGATCTTTTAGTGTACTCTCGCTATTCCATACCCAGCATTGACAAAACAGAAGATATGTCTGCCTGTCTTCATAAATAAATGTCGTAATGTTCGTGAAATGCTCGATAGACGTCTAGATCAATTATTGTGAATGAAACTTTTGAAAGGAATTGTGTATTATCAATTTCTATAAGCACATTGTGGAATGAAAATGATGTTAGTATCTAAAACAAATAATGTTCCGTATTTTCAAAAGCCACAGGATACATTGAATATTTGTTTTTATGTCAAAATTTTTCAAATTGAATACCTTAACTATATCATGTTACTATTCTGAACATAGCATTAGTCGGAATCTGAGGAATGTTATAATATAGATTTAGGTTCGCATTCAAACTACTTATATCAGCTGACAGTAACAAATTATATAAACTTGATTGTTTGCATGACTAACAATGTTGTGTGCTCTCGACTACTAGAGCTGCTCGTGTCCATATAACGCGGTAGTTGGTTATCAGTACTAGATGTTGATATAAGTAACTAGAGAGATTGGGATCATGTGATTCTCCTTTCGGTTCAGATTCTGAACTCTCTCTTACATGTCTCTATCGATAATCACGTATTATCTTTGAAACTCGGATAGTCTGCGCTTCGAGTAGACTGACTTGGAGATCGTAGTTTACTTAGGCTTGTTTACTTTTTGCTGACTAGTTATGTGCGTTATTCGACTCTTGCTCTATTACCTCTCTTTTCGTGACTAGTTTATGAGTGTTCCCAGATCTCTCGTAGTGATTAGGCTATGTTCGTCGTTCTCCATATTACGCGAAAATCTGACCTCATCATCTGTCTGCATAATCTATGCTAACAGAATACCTTAACTGATGACATTACATTGATAATACACCAATTGTAATATTATTAAAGAAATAAAACTATATCTCTCTTTGAACTTCTGTTTCTTGTAAGCTAATTATATAGACTGATAACTTTATCTTTAACATGTTTTGTTAGCCTTTATTTTAAGAAACAAACTACATTTATATAGGACATTAAATTACAATTGTTATAAGATATTACTACATTTATCATAAGACACAAACTTCATATATAATAAGACACAAACGTCATTTATCATAAGACACAAACTACATATAACACAAACTTCATTTATTGTAAGACATAAACTACATATTTTGTAGAAGCAACATATAAACCTACATTTGTTATAAGACACAAACTACATTTATTATAAGACACACAAACTTACATTTATCATAAGACACAAACTTCATTTATTATAAGACACAAACTTCACTTATATCATAAGATGACACATAACTTCATTTATTGTAAGACATAAACTACATTTATTATAAGACATAGGCTACATTTATTCATAAGACACAAACTACATTTATTTATAAGACACAAACTACATTTGTCATAAGACACAAACTACATTTATTATAAGACACAATACTAACATTATCATAAGACACAAACTACATTTATTATAAGACACAAACTACATTTATCATAAGACACAAACTTCATTTATTGTAAGACATAAACTACATTTATGATAAGACACAAACTACATTTATTGTAAGACACAAACTTCATTTATTATAAGACACAAACTACATTTATCATAAAGACACAACTTCATTTATTGTAAGACATAACTACATTTATGATAAGACACAAACTACATTAATATAAGACACAAACTACATTTAATATAAGACACAAAATCTATTTATTGTAAGACATAAAACTACATTTATTATAAGACATAGGCTACATTTATCATAAGACACAAACTACATTTATATTGTAAGACATAAACTACATTTATTATAAGACATAGGCTACATTTATCATAAGACACAAACTACATTTATTATAAGACACAAACTACATTTATTATAAGACACAAACTACATTTATCATAAGACACAAACTACATTTATTATAAGACACAAACTACATTTATCATAAGACACAAACTACATTTATCATAAGACACAAACTTCATTTATTGTAAGACATAAACTACATTTATGATAAGACACAAACTACATTTAATATAAGACACAAACTACATTTAATATAAGACACAAACTTCATTTATTGTAAGACATAAACTACATTTATTATAAGACATAGGCTACATTTATCATAAGACACAAACTACATTTATTGTAAGACATAAACTACATTTATTATAAGACATAGGCTACATTTATCATAAGACACAAACTACATTTATTATAAGACACAAACTACATTTATTATAAGACACAAACTACATTTATCATAAGACACAAACTTCATTTATTGTAAGACACAAACTTCATTTATTGTAAGACACAAACTACATTTATTATAAGACATAGGCTACACATGTGCATTATTATCTTTAACTGTTTAACTGCAGTCTGGCTATTTGTTAGTGGCTAATATTTTCACAAATTCAAGCCTGTCTTAAAAGATACTGTATAAATGGTAAAGTTTGCAACATGATTGTGATTTTCTTCATAGGATATTTAATAATCTGCTGTTTTCCCTTCTCTCCTTTGAACTATTGTGAACAAAGAGTGATAATAACTACTAAAAATATAACAGTATATTTTTAGATTTTATCAAATATTTAACAGGTTAGGTCATACATATCTAACTTACACTTTTTCTCCTGAGAACCTCTCCCTCTGAATCAGCTGACTGAAAAAAATTATCTTGTCTAGTGAGATATTAAAAATTCAGACAGACAGGAAATATAAACAAAACATATCTGAGTCAGACATAAAACATTTGAAAAAAGGAAATTACCCTGTTTAAGGTTTAACGTAATTCTGTATAGAATGAAAATGTATGTAAGTATGTATTCTAGGCTTAATGAGGGTCCAACCACCGTTTCAGGCAATGAGAGAACGAAAATAATCATGGAATCCCCTTATTAACGAGTTCAAAATAGCTTCAACGTTAGGTGTAATGAATTTTTCATCATTTTTCATCATTTTAACAATTGTTATTGTATAAATTTGCTAAAATACACCGATTAAAACCATCAAGCAAATTTTTTTTCCATTAAACAGAATTATAAATTTACAATTAGTGACATTTAATACAAATATTATTTCAGGAACTTTAAAAATAAAAAAATTGAATTATGGATAAAGAATAGAATGATTCAACAATGTAAAGGTGAAATTAATCAATTATGGGAAAAGAATGATTCATTTGAAACAGTTTGACAAATCTAACAGCATTATAAATACCTACCATGACAGAAGCGTAGGGGTTTGATAGAGTTGGTGTAATACCCTTTCCTATTGATCCACTCCTGGAATAATACAAAAATAAAATATGCAAAACTGCAGATTTATATTACAATATATTTGTAACAAAAAAATTATTATCTCAGAAAACTTATAATAAATGTTTAAGTCCATGTGAATATCAAGGATTATTCTAAACCATTTTCCTCAAGACACAAGATTTACATATTTATGTGTATATACTGATAAAATTTTGTATAAATCAAAGGAAGTTTTCCATTTTTTTCAATACAACATATTTGTCCAAGTCTAAACTTATTCTAGACAGAAAGAAACTTACTTTTCACACCTGATTTTTGGACAACTTGTGTGATAATAATGCAAAATATTTCGAACAATTTTAAAATGTGAAGGTATATTTTATTTTCTGGATTTTATTCTGATTTTATCACAGTTTTGGTCATATATCTGTGGTTGGTCCACCTAACCTGCTGTCCTGGATAACTAACCAGAAATTACAAATTCCTCATTAAGTGACCCACTACTAATCTCACATGATCTCTGAATCAACGGTGAGAGACAAATGACCATTAGACTCAATTGTAAGAGATCAAATGTCATAAAAGAAATTTCACCATGCTTTTTAAATGTATACATTATATATGAGCAAAATGAAAGTTATTACCAGTACGTACCTTTTCTCAAATCTGGCTTTAAGTTGTTTCATTTCTCTATGATGAGCATCTTTCAGTCGTTTAATTTCTTCCTCCCTCTCCCTCTTCTCTTTGTCTCGCTCCAGCTGACGTTTTTGTTCCCGCTGAAGTTTCTCCTCAAACATTCTTCTCTTTACCTCCTGTTCTACTAGTGCATTTATCCTTTAAATTACAAACATTGCCTATATAATCAGTATATGAATAGTTTTATATATTCTATATATGAATATTCTACATATTCTGGGACTAATATATTCTATCTATGAATATTCAATATATTCTATTCTATTATATTCTTTATATGAATATTCTCTATATTCTATTTATAAAAATTCTATATATTCTTTTTATGAACTAACTATTTTCTTGTAGTTATTTCAATTTTTTAATTCCAAAATATATTATGAAATAAAATCTCATACAAATATAATCATAAATTCAATCAAATATTCCAGTATCCATTTAAAATAGATAATATTAATTTTTAATCAAAAGTGTTATTCCATTAAATATTCAATTTGGTGCTAAATTCAGCATTATGTCTTATATCTAAATATTCAAGATATTTGTGTTTTAAATTTTAATCACCCTTAAAATTACGTTTGTTTGTTTGGGTTTTACGTCACACCAATACAGTATAGGTCATATAGCGAAATTCCAGCTTTACTGGTGGAGGAATACCTATGTGCATTATTTCAGGCACGAACGGACACCTGAGTAGAACCACCGACGTTCCGTAAGCTAGCTGGATAGCTTCCTCACATGAAAGAATCCAAAGTCCCTATCGGGATTCGAACCAACAGTTTAAATTACGTAAATATAAAAAAAATCTACAAAATGACAATAATAGTTATATTTACCTGTCTTGTCTAACTCTCTCCTGCAGGTTATCTTTCTCCAGTTCTATAATATCCAGCTCGTAATCTCGTGCCTGGTCAAAGTTACGTACTTTATCCTCCAATATTTCTTGTGCCCTATCAACAGCTTCCTGTAACTCTTCTAGCTCCTGTACAAACAATGTGCAATAAAGAAATAGTTAATCTATTTCAAGGTAAATACAGTTACTTGTTTTCATGTAGCATGCATTAGTTGATTGTTTAAATAACAGCCAAATTAACACAGGAACTTCTGTGAAGTTTAGCAATCAGCATTTTACATCTTTCTTATTTTGTTAAACCTCATAATAAGACTGTGGTACCTTATTCTAAATAATCCATTGATTTACTATGTAAGGATTTAAAACTAAAGGATATGCTTTGTTGATCTTTTGTTCTAATATGCTTTCCTACCCCACTCCCTCCTCCCCCACAAAAACAACAAATTTATGTCCATAGCATGTTTGATAATACATTGTTTGTAAGAGACTAAAAGAAAAGCAGTAAAATATGCTTGGAGTGACTTGGAAGCCTGAAAATCAAAAACTTCTGTCACTGACAAATATTTTACCTTTCTCTTTTGTTCTATTCTAAGTTGATCTTCATCAGTTAATTGCACCTGTTGTAACTGTTCATCTAGATCACCTATACCTGAATCTGCCATACTCTGAGACTTCTTTAATAATAACAAGCTGAAATATAAACATCAATAATGATCATGTGTGTCATGGCAGGGTGGCTCAGTGGTTAATGGGTAGAGGACTACTGGCTGCATAGATTAAAAATTCATCATCATTATTTTCTTGAGCAAGAAATTTTACACTCATTGCTCAGTACTGGTAGGTCCCAGGAACAGATCTCAGAGTGTATTTTTAAGCTTATAGTTTCCTACACAATCAAATTTATAATAAACTATGTGTTAACTTTAAAAAAAACTCTTACTATTTTCCTGTAGTCAACAAGGTGGATTTGATGGCATTACAAAATGCTTTATAATGTGATAATATAAGTAACTAATACTGCTATAAGAGCCGTGTCACAACAAAACAAACATAGTCCGTTTGCGACCAGCATGGATCCAGATTAGGCTGCGCATCTGCGCAGTCTTATCAGGATCCATGCTGTTCGCTATCAGTTTCTCTACTTGTAATAGGGTTGGTAATTGAACAGCATGGATCTTGATCAGACTGCGCGGATGAGCAGGCTGGTCTGGATCCATGCTGGTCGCAAATGCATTATGTTGGTTTGGTCATGATGCGGCTCATATCATCTATACACCTAACCTTTTTCTTTCTTCCTGAATCTCCTTTAATTCTTCACTGAGATTTTCCTCTACTGAATTTAATTCTTCATTGACAGATATAATCTCCTCTTCCAGTTTAATGACAGCCTGACACTGTGAACTACTCAGTGCCTCTTTTTCCCTCATTATATCTTCCTTTTGGTCTAGAAATTCAGATTTCCTTTGTTCAATGTCTTTGTTAAATTCTTTCAACACAACCTTTTGCTTTTTTAAATCACTAACCATTTCTGCCACATTTTCTTCCATTTCATCTATTTTACTACTTATTGAATTTAATTCTGAACTTTCTGCCTGTTTAGCCAATTCCTTTTTCATTTTATCAATCCTGGCCTCTTCAGAATGTTTATAATTTTCCCATCTGTCCATTTCTACTTCAATTGCATCAAGAATTTTCCTCTCTTTCGTTGCAACTTTCTTTTCTTCAAGTTTTAATAAACATTTTGCTTCTTCTAACTGTTCTTTCTCTATTTCAATATCCCTCCTTTCTTTATCAGTCAATGTTTCCGATTTCAAACATTCATCATATTCTCTTTCCTGATCATTTAAATCATTCCAAGCTTCTTCAATCTCATGATTCTCTTTAGAAATGTCATCAACGTCACTCTTCCATCTCTCCTTCATTTCAATTTCTTTTTTGTCAAACTGAGATTTCAACTGAATTTCCTCCTCCTTAATTTCTTGAAATTTTCCTTTTAAAGATTCATTTTCCTCCAACTTTTCATGAAATATTATCTCAAAGTCTTTTTTAAGTTTGTTTATTTGTTGTTGCTCTGTATCAATCACTTTCTGATCCTATGGAAAATTTGAACAAATTTTTTTTATAAATTGTGAATAAATTTTTAAATAATTGAAAATATAATAAAACTTTCTGTAGAAACTTGTTATAACTGTAAAGTAATAAGTTACATGATTTTCAAACTTTTCTAATCTTAACACATGATTTTAATATCAGACTTAACTCACAATAACAACATCAAAATACAACAAAACAAATACAACAAAAGAACCAGAAACAACACAAAGAAAGAAAAGTAAGATAAAATATTTGTTTAAGTATATAAAACTATATCTAATGAGGTATTTTCATAAAATAAACAAAGTTAACAGTAAAATAATGTTGATTCAATATGGTCGATTCTTGAAAGAGTGGTAACATAGAATGTTTTGTTATTTAATTCACATAAATATTGTACATACATTGTAATCAGAATAAAATGTTCTGGAACAAAATTTTATACTGCTATTTTAAGAAGGACTTTAACCATTTGAATAAAGAATTAATGCATATGCCATTTGTCCTTAAGAAAAAATACAGATATAGGTATTTTGAAAGTATTATTTTACAAAATTTAATTAATAAATTTGTAAACTACCGACAGCAGATATATAGCTTTATACAGTTTAACATACCTCCATATCTTGTTCTTTAGCTGCCATTGTTTTAACATTTAGTTCATCTTCCAGCAATTTTATCTCATTATCTTTCAGTCTACACCTGTCTTCAAGCAGAACTAACTGAGCCTGTACATTCTTTTTATGTACTTCATTATCATTTCTCAAAGTCTCCAGTTTCTACAATAACAAAACCATACTGTTAGGAAATTTTTACAAAATCTCGTACATACATATTATGACACAATTCGACATGATAGCTCATGAAAGGGCGATGGAAAGTAACAATATAAACAAAAGACCTGTCCTCAGACAGTGTGCTCCATTTTCTCAGTACTTGATATATAATTAAAGCAATATAGAAATCGTTTAAAAAAAACATATAAATTCGTAAAAAAAAATGTTTGGGATTATCTGCCTTTTGGAAATGGCGTAATTTTATAACAATAAATGAGCCACGTCATGACAAAACCAACATAGTGCGTTTGCGACCAGCATGGATCCAGACCAGCCTGCGCATCCCCGCAGTCTGATCAGGATCCATGCTGTTCGCTTACAGACCCTATAACAAGTAAATAAACCGATAGCGAACAGCATGGATCCTGATCAGACTGCGCGGATGTGCAGGCTGGTCTGGATCCATGCTGGTCGCAAACCCATTATGTTGGTTTTGTCATGATGCGGCTCAAATATGCTTACCAAGTTTAAAGTGAATAACTTTAATCATTTCTGAGAAAATGACAATACCTCTTTTTCTTCAATAGTGGAGCATTAAGAAATATTTTAATTTTCTTTATATCTTAGATCACATTTCTCAAAATTGATTTTCTTGAAATATTTTGTCTCATCTGGAGGCATTCAACTTTAATGTTGTATAGTATACAATAAAGCATCTGTAACTAACCAAATGTAATGTGTCACTTGTCTGCCTGCTGGTTTCTATCAGCTTTATTTCCCGATCATCTAACTTTGTTAACAAATCATCTATCTGAGCACCCTATAAATATAAAATATATATCATTGACTTCTTCAACAAAATCTTATAATTTATTAATGTAGAATGGTAAATACAGGTAAAATAAAATAGTTATATTATTTCATGGTTAACATAATTTTATTATTTTACATACACAAAGACTATTACTCCTTCATTGAATGTAGTTCCAGATATTTCATCTCTTTCTATTGATATTAGAATGAAAAACATTATGGTTGTATGCCTCTTGCAGCATGTTTTATAATTGCACAATTTTTCATCAGTCTAGTCCAACCAAGCGTGTATTTTTTTTACTGCTTTTTTGTAATTAAACACTTGAGTTTATCACCTTTATGATTTTATTAATAAAAATCTAAGCTGTGTTCACAAGTGTTTAATAATAACACAATCAAAATTCATTTTGGCCTACATATCCAAAGAAAAGTTAGGTAAATATGTAGACACGAACATATTTGATTCAAATCATAACAAATTTCATATACAAGATGCATGTTATAAACCAAATAATGAATTTTACTAGTAACTAGGCAAAAAGTGCATATTAATCAAAATTTCATTACAATTTGCACAAACAAAACAATATAATATTATTTTAACTATATAATTATGCAAAGAATTCAAAGTAAGTCAAAGATTTGTAACAATAAGTAATATATAACTGTATAGGATATATATACTATACCTTTGGCAGTTTTATAGGGATATGGTCAAACTGGTGTGCCTAAGGAAAAAATAAATTGATGCATGGATGAATGTTAATAGAAATAAAACAGAAAACACAGGGGAAAAATTCTGCTTAAAATGTAGTACAACCTCTTCAGAACAATACCCTATGAAAACAAGGCAGTCTGAAGGAGAGCTAAATCCCCTTCCACAGCAGACATAAATGTGTACTTCTTGACCTTTAACAGACTATGACCTTGATGTTGTGCCATGTGTATTATAAGCATATAGTCTCATGATAGTAATCATTTGTGCAAAGTTATTTAAAATCTTCCATGAAGTCGAAAAGTTATGGAGAACATCAAACATGTGGAAGGAGATTAACAAAGATTTTGGTGGTTGCTGACCAGGAGGTGGTTGGTATATAAAAGCTATATTTATAGTAAAGTCTTACCATAGAAGAAATAAAAAAGCTGTTTTTTAAGCAGTTATTACCCATAAGAGGGCTGTTCTGTGTGGGTTGAACTGTATTATGAGCAGATTTTACAAATTGGTTAATATTTCTTCTATAGCTACTACTTAATACACAAACTATCAAAATTTACTTCCAATATACATAGGTCTGCACAGACAATATCTCATGCAAAATTATAATTGTACTAGAATTTAAAACCTGGCAATATACTCTATACAGTTCTTTAGTAACACAGCAAATTTATCAAACATATCTCTAATAAATGGCAAGAAAAATAAAATTTTCACATAGATCTATTCAAGTTCTTTGTATGGATGTCTACATCACAACATGCATATCAAACAAATTTCATCTTCAAATATATCACAACATAAATGCACTTTTTTTATAATTTCACTCCTTTCTACCTCAGTAAACATTCAATTTCACATATAAGTAAATTATAAAACACAGAACACCATACTCAAAAATCATAGGTTACTGTTTCAAAACTGATATTGTGTTGGCATTTAAACCAGCATGTATTTCCCTTTTTTTCCCTGTAAAACAACATTCAGGGGGTGATATAAAATCTTATTATAAGATCATTTAATACAAATATGAATACACTCTACCTGTAAAACTTCTGTCTGCACTTTTTCAAGATCTTTGTTTGCCTTATTTAGCTGATTTTGTTTCCTCTCTAATTCTATCTCCATGGCAACCTGTTTGTTGAGACGTTCCTCTTCCTCGGCATGGTAACGATCTTCTAAAACCTTAATCTGACATCTAAAATAAACAAAAGCTGGTACTTAACACCAGGCTTTACTATTTTCAGTGTTAAACAAGAGTTACTAGTATACAGTTATTTTAAAAGGTCAACAACAGTGCCAATTTCACATAAAATATACTCTTCTCAAACGCTCAGCTGTAAAACCTAGATCAGACTCAGCTAGTGCCTCGTCCAATGTGGGTTTGACAGCTATAGATTTCAGTATTGAATTCAACAAAGTATATTAACAATTTTGGCATATTAGTATCCCAATATTTAATACCTTTTATCTTTCTATTTCTATTTTTATATTAAAACATACTTCTTACAAGCATGCAGATTTTGTAATTTAGTGATATTAAAAGGTTTATTTTTTATTTATATCGTCCCTGTATTTTAAAATATTTTGAGTGCATTTATTCTTATTTAATTTTAATGACATTCTCATGCCCCTCTTGAGACTACGTAAAATAATATTATACTGCCAAGAGGACAGATATTTTGATAATAATATATTTTTATTCAAATAAATTTTATACTGAAACTACAATGATTCAATATCTTCTATATAATCTCTTCAATATAACATAGTTTTAATCAATTATGGAAACAGTAGATCCTAATATTTTGAAAGTAAGCTAGAATTGTCTCAAAATAGGAGTGAAAATTAGAAAATATGAGTTAAATAATTATGTAAACCCAAATTTCCCTGTATTCAGATCATTTGATACTTCAGTGAGTAAAGTGTAAAAGAACTTAAAACATGTTTCTTTCAACATATACAGTGACATTTGTGTTATAAAAGAGATAGACTGTATGGCATGCAATGTTTAAATGTTATAAAAGTAGAAAAAAACTGTCAACAATAAAAGTATTTTACTTACTTAAGTTCTTCAATTTTCTCTTGTTCTTCCCTGTGAGAGCTATCTAATTCCCATCTGAAATTATATCAACACTCTAACAATAAATAATATGTTCTTAAAGAAGCTCCAATGAGGTTTAAAAGCCTAAAACATAAATTTCATTTTTTTTTCATAGATCAAATGGGGCAATTAAAACAGAAACATATAGTAAAGAAAGTTACTCTCAATGACATAGTAAATCTATATTTATGAGTCAGATGCATTTAAACTCTTTTAAATTTTTGTGTGTGATTTTTTCACAATAAAAATATTGGAGTGAGCCAATGATCTGAAATTTTGCAGACAAGTTATTGTTCGAGATCTACATCAAATGTTACATATATCTCAAAAAATGTATTTCCAGTCTTGTCATGTCAAAGCAACCCCAGTGAAGTTCCTTTAACTTTCAGAGAGCAAGAAACAATAGCTCAAAATACCCCAGTAAAGTATCACTTAGAATCTGGAACTATACATGATAAGTACAAGGAATTTTGTTATCAACAGTTTAAAATGGACTAGTCTTGACAACTTGACAAATTTGAGATTTGTAGTTTGAAGCCACACAAGCTTTCAGTGGTCAAGGTACAAGCGACCTTGACCTTTGACAAACTGTCTCTGAAGCCATTACGGGTCATCTACTATTTATGACCAACCTTCTTACCAAACCTTAAGACTGTAGGACAAAGAGTTTATCGGTCAAACAAGGTGTGGTTTATTGGCAGATGGACTGACAGAACCTGTGTAAGAAATATACCACACGTCTCTAAATGGAAACATAAAATACTCTGTGTATATAGTGTCAATCCCGTCATATTTTATCATTCATAAAGTTAAAATGTGGCTTTCATTTTATTGATATTAAAATAATGTCTAGCATGTAACATACCCAGAGCCAGAAAGATTTTCAGATGATTTGTACAGGTCTGTCATAGACTGGCTGATAAGTGATGTACGTGACAGAGATATAGACATCCCACTCTGTAAAATATACAATACAGTACTTCCTTTTAAAATATACAATACAGTACTTCCTTTAAAAATATACAAAACAGTACTTCCTTTTAAAATATACAATACAGTACTTCCTTTTAAAATATACAATACAGTACTTCCTTTTAAAATATACAATACAGTACTTGCTTTTAAAATATACAATACAGTACTTGCTTTTAAAATATACAATACAGTACTTGCTTTTAAAATATACAATACAGTACTTGCTTTTATAAAATATACAATACAGTACTTGCTTTTAAAATATACAATACAGTACTTGCTTTTAAAATATACAATACAGTACTTGCTTTTAAAATATACAATACAGTACTTCCTTTTATAAAATATGCAATACAGTACATCCTTTTAAAATATACAACACAGTACTTGCTTTTATAATATACAATACAGTACTTGCTTTTATAATATACAATACAGTACTTCCTTTTATAAAATATACAATACAGTACTTCCTTTTAAAATATACAATACAGTACTTGCTTTTATAATATACAATACAGTACTTCCTTTTATAAAATATACAATACAGTACTTCCTTTTAAAATATACAATACAGTACTTGCTGTTATAATATACAATACAGTACTTGCTTTTATAATATACAATACAGTACTTCCTTTTATAAAATATACAATACAGTACTTCCTTTTAAAATATACAATACAGTACTTCCTTTTAAAATATACAATACAATACTTCCTTTAAATATATACAATACAGTACTTGCTTTTAAAATATACAATACAGTACTTGCTTTTACAATATACAATACAGTACTTGCTTTTACAATATACAATACAGTACTTGCATTTACAATATACAATGCAGTACTTGCTTTTACAATATACAATACAGTACTTGCATTTATTATATACAATACAGTACTTGCTTTTATAATATACAATACAGTACTTGCTTTTAAAATACACAATACAGTACTTGCTTTTAAAATACAGAATACAATACATGTACTTTCTTTCACAATTAATCTTATAAACCAACTCAATCAAATATTGTAAATGCTTCTAGAACACAAAATTTTATACAGTTAATTTTTTGATATCAGGCCAAAAATAAATTCTGTTTCAGATTACCATATCTTTCCTCTGTTTAACTGTTGTCAACAAAATTTGCATTTCTCTTTGCATTTTTCAAAACATTTTCTATACAGTAAAATTTCTATGAAATTTTGTCAAATATATATATATACAACATGATTCCTAGTTCAGTGTTGTAGTAAAAATAAATTTTGATTAATTCTTTTTTGAAATAATGTTATTGGTCAACATAAAACTCCACTTTATTTCAGTGTTTTTGCATCATCAGGTGAAACTTTTTAAAACCATTTCCGAAAGAAATGGACTTTTTTTCTCTCTAAAATATTAATCTATAAAAGATCAGTTTTACCTTCATACCTATTTGTTTTGGAAGAAACCAGACACCAAATTGTTAGGGACTTTATAGAGGTGATATTTATGCAACTAAGAACATAGCAGAATAGCTTGGAGTAATTTGATAAGATACATTAACATAATAAATTTGTCACCTAGATGCAATAACAAATTAACTCCTATTAAATTTAGAAGGACTTAACCCATTACTGCACTAAGGTGACATTATAGTCATAATAGTCATATCACCTCTATCTGCAAATGATGCAAAATATACATGTATATTAACAGTCATTTCTGAAAATAAAACCTACAGTAAAAGTAATTCTATTTAATCACAAGAAAAGATATTTAACAAAATGTAACTCTTAAATACACTAGAGAAATACTAAATGGAATTTTAACTAAATATTTTTGTTGCAAAAAGAAACATTCCACTGTTCTTTCACATTTTAAATGATTGCACATTTTTTACAACATGTTGCAGATTTTATTTTATTTTTCAGCTTAAATGTTGTCTCACACAGATCCTATTAGCATTCACAATATACATTACAGAAGACAGGTCAAAATGTTAGTTGAAAAGTTAAATTTCACAGCATGATAAAATATTAGAAAGTGACTGAGAGGTGACTTAGATGATTAAAGAGAAAAAAAACCTTTTCATAAAATAACAATCATGTATCCCACCACACTCTTATTTCCTAAACATTTACAACCATGGTAACTACTACTGAACTAAACTCACATGATCACATTGTTATACAGATATTATTTGGAAACTCAGAAAATGTGGGTTTTCCCCATCTAATTCCAGGGTACAAACTTTTACCGCTACAGCTTCTCGGTGCACTACACTTCACAATACAGTGCTTATCATTGATATGATACATTTACCAAGTTGTAACTGTAAAATTTTGTTTGTATCTCAGAATTAGTTCGGAAAAACAGGCACTTGCCGGGTTCCAGAGTAATTATATCTGTCGTATGTTGCGGTTCGGACCAGAATATCCGTTCCGAGGGGACCCGCCCATTGGGTGGTAACAAGGCTTGCCTAGTAACCACCCATGGGCGGGTTCCTGAGGGAAGGATATTCCGATCCGAACCGCAAACATATGTCAGATATTTTTTCTTGCATATTCTGTCATATTATTTCATATTTAAAATGATTTACCTCAATATGATATATGTTCATGGAAATTAGGGTCATTTCATCCATAACTATTTTCTTACAATAGCGTATGAACTTACAACTTAAATAACAACGGCAAAATGACGTCATCCTAAGCACATATTTCTCTTCTAAAACGGCGTCATTTTAACGCGGTTCATTCATAAAGTGCGCTAAAATGACGTTCTTGTTTGGCGCACGACTCATCTGGCACCCTCCATGCCTGATGAAATTTCTGGCATGGGTAAAACTCACGGAAACGTCAGTCTGCTATGCAAGAATATCCCTTTTCCCCAATGTGTCAGAACTATATTATTTGTATAGATCTACATAATCACAGACATTTATACTTACAAATATGATATTTGCAGACAGATTTTTGTCTTTTTCCTACCCAATAAAATTAATAACAAATAAAATTATAACAATCATTTAACAAGTGCTAGCTCATCATTGAGCAGTTTATATCCGAGACTTTTTATTATTAGGTTCTAACTATTAGTTATATTGAAATACTACACAAATGATGTTCAAATATGAGATTGTTGGTCATTACAAATGCACTGAGTCTCATTATGAAATAAAAACAGAAAAAATACATTTAAAGGCACCTAAACTTTAACAAAAAGCACTTGATTCTCTATCCAATTTGTATAGTCAAGCTAAGATTCACATCTCCTTCAATCTGTATCAGTCAGAATCTGTGTTAGACATTTGATATTTAGTAGATTTATCACACACCCTAGCTGATTTTGCGACTCCGTAAAAATGGTATTGCACAGCTGTGCATATATTTTGACGTGACGTCATTAGCATGATAGAAACATATTGTAAAGACGCGTTAAATGTTAGTGTTATACTGTAGGGGTGTCAATGAAAAATGACTCTTTTTTTCACTTTAAACAGTCTTTATTTTGGGTATGTGATAAATAGAATATTAAATTTGTGTAAGTTCATTACTGAATTTATTGAACTCGTTGAATAAAATAATAAAATGATAGCCAGAGGCTCGCATGATATAATTTTATTCAACTTATGCAATAAATTCAGCATTGAACTTACACTCATTCAATATCCTCTATATACCTTGCAATACCTAGCATAATATCTATTAAATTGTGTATTTATGAAACAGAACAAAACATATATATATAATATAATGTTAAAAATATAATTTTGATGAAAATATTCGGATAATTATAATAGTTATATTAATAACTGGAATAAATAGTTCAAAATAAACTAGAACTATCGCTGAATGCGATTCATACCCCCACCAATGTCCTTGACAGAAGACAACTTGGAAAGGTGGTTAAGGGAATAACTTAAGTGACACAAATACATAAAAAGAAATTATCTTCTGGTGAAAAAAAAGACTAATTGTACAGGTAATAGTAAAAATATCTATTATCAATCATGTTCGAAACAGTTACAAATAACCTTTCATTTTCCCAATATACTAAACTTTTTATAAGTCAATTTTTTGACCTTCAAGTGTGGCCTTGACCTTCAGCTGGCACAAGGGTAAGATGGGTTCTGCACATCGCCCAATTGGAGTGAACATTTGAGTAAAGTTTGAAGAAAATCCTTCCATTAGTATAGAATTTATAGAGCGGACACAACATATTGTCTAGTATTGATTGTATGTAAATTTAAAGACTTAAAAAAGGGGCATAACTTTGTCAAAATCCAATACAGAGTTATGAAACTTGACCTGCATATTGTAATTGTGACACCTCATATATCTTTTAAGTTTCAAGCAAATACCTATGCTAGTTTCCGAAATATTCAAGAACATGTTTTAATCTAAGAACATTTTCTAAGTCAATTTTGACCTTCAAGTCTGACCTTGACTTTAGTCTGCACAAAGGTGACATAGATTCTGCACATAACCTTGTTTAGGTGAACATTTGAGAAAAGTTTGAAGAAAATTCTTCCATTAGTATAGGATTTATAGAGCTGACACAACATATTGTCTAATATGTGATTGTATGTAAATTTGAAGATTAAAAAGGGGCATAACTTTGTTAAAATGCAATACAGAGTTATGAAACTTGACCAGCATATCTTAATTGTGACACTTCATTTATATTTTAAGTTTCAAGCAAATACCTTTCCTAGATTCAGAAATATTCAGATATATGTTAAAATTAAAGAACATTTTCTAAGTCAATTTTTGACCTTCAAGTGTGACCTTGACCTGAAGCCGGCAAAAGAGTGACATGGGTTCTGCACATAACCTTGTTGAGGTGAACATTTTAGCCAAGTTTGAAGAAAATCTTTCCATAAGTGTAGGACTTACAGAGCGGACACGACATACTGTGTAATATTTAATTGTTTGATATTTGACCTTCAACTGTGACCTTGACCTTGAGCTGACACATGAGCAACATGGGTTCTGCACATCCCATTGTTGAAATGAACATTTGAGCCAAGTTTGAAGAAAATCTTTCAATTAGTGTAGGACTTACAGAGCGGACATGACATATTGTGTAATATTTGATTATTTGATATTTGACCTTCAATCGTGGCCTTGACCTTAAAATGACACATGGGCAACATGGGTTCTGCACATCCCCTTGTTGAGGTGAACATTTTAGCCAAGTTTGAAGAAAATCTTTCAATTATTGTAGGACCTACAGAGCGGACACGACATACTGTCTAATATATGATTGTGTTTGATATTTGACCTTCAATTGTGACCTTGACCTTGAGCTGACACATGGGCAACATGGGCTCTGCACATCCCCTTGCTGAGGTGAACATTTTAGCCAAGTTTGAAGAAAATCTTTCAATTATTGTAGGACCTACAGAGCGGACACGACATACTGTCTAATATATGATTGTGTTTGATATTTGACCTTCAATTGTGACCTTGACCTTGAGCTGACACATGGGCAACATGGGTTCTGCACATCCCCTTGCTGAGGTGAACATTTGAGCCAAGTTTGAAGAAAATCCTTCAAGTGGTATAGGAGTTATAGAGCGGACACGAAAATGGAGACGGACGGACCGACCGACCGACCGACTGACCGACCGACCGACCGACGCGACAAAGCGAATCCATTATAGCCCCCCCCACATTTTGTGGTGGGGGTATAAATATCCCTAAGAAAAATTTCCAAGCGAAAGCAATCATAATTCTTAAAGCAATTTACTGTAAAGCACTATATAACTTAAGTTAACAAGAGGCTAAAGTTGGCCTACATAGCTCACCTGAGTAAAAGGAAATGAGGACAAAAAAGTTTCAAACTCTAAGATAGTGCTTTACATAACAAATTTACTGCAAACCTATGTTCTAAGCATTTTAGCTTCAGATAAAAGATACTATCTCTAGTATATAAATCTTTATTACAAAAGTGATTAACAGACCATGGGTCATTTTTTAACCTAGGACCTTGATCTATATCTTGTGCACAGACCAAATAAACACTGTTTCATTTTAAACTTATAAACTATGTAGTTTTAGAGAAGTTTTCTTTTTAATTTGGGAAAAAGTGACCAATTAAGATCAATTTTGACACTTAGAGGCATGATGTACAAAACTTTGGAAGAAGACCACTAGACAATACCACATATGAATTTTTTTATTAGTTATTTTGTTATTTTCTTATAATATTAAAATAAAGAAATATATATAAAAACTGACCCGAGAGACATTATCTGAATTACTTTTTTGAGGCATTTTATATAAAGATACAGGCTGCTATAGGGTGCTAAATGTCTAAACTCTTGATCATTCCTATTTAGTTTGGCTGAAATCTACCTAAGTAGATGCATATATAAAGAAGCTGTGTGTGAGATAGAGCAAGCAATGCAGACATGAAGCAATCACAAAAACAGAACATTGAGATCTTCATGTTCATAATGCATGTGTCAAAACATTTATATAAAGCCAATTTAACTGAAACAATAAGTCCTAGAGGGTCCTGGACTGCTCACCTGAGACGCAAGGCAAAAATGTCATAGGTAATGTCATCTTAAGTCTTATGTTTTGAAATGTTTTATGCTTACTTTTACTCTAATTCTTTCAACTATATTGTTCATGGGATAAGAAAAATTTGAGCTTTTTGCAAAGGACAACCAAATGATCAGTGATAGGAAGTTTTAAATAAATCTGATCTTATGTCAAGAAATATTACTAATGCTGTGTAAATTTAGCCTTACAATTTTTGATAAGATATCTATGAAATACCAAACCTTGGGTAAAGGTAGGAAGCAATCACATGATATAAGTAACAGATAGAGACACACATTCACATTCGTTTTTAAACATATATGAATTATCTGAGTAATATACTAGAAAATCAAGGCAGGGCACTGTCTGCATAACCTTGACCATGTTAGTAAGAAAGAAATGTTGCTGTTTTAACTAAAACACTACTAGAACTGAAAGTTGCGATGCTTGCAAATAACATAGAGCCAGACAAGAATGCATTTCCATGCAGTCTAAACAGTCTCTGTTTTATTGTGTCGGCAGGCAATCTTGAATCCCCAGAACTGATAATGGGAAAGTTCCAAAAATAGAAGCTGGACAAGTCCATTTGATAAATTCAGCAGGTTATGGTTTACAGAAAAGTATAGAAATACAGACAGATAGATGGACAATGCACAACGGACAATCAATGATCAAAATATCTCACCTTGAGCACAAAAATGTGCTTCTGTAAGATAAAAACTTAGTAAATAATTAATATTATAGGAAATAAAAAACTTAAAATCACACCAAGATACTGTTAAAATAAACTTAAAACAGGTAGGAGGAACAAATCAAACAATCCTCTTTAACAAGTTTCTGTCTCACCTTCACTAAAATGCCCTGATGTAAATATATAAGATAATGAACATTTATTGTGACATTAGACAAAACATAATGACATTCTTGAAAGTATATAAGTCATACACAGTGATATGTTCACTGGCTGGAATAGTATATGAGCCGCGTCATGACAAAACCAACATAATGCGTTTGCGACCAGCATGGATCCAGACCAGCCCGCGCAGTCTGATCAGGATCCATGCTGTTCGCTATCAGTTTCTCTACTTGTTATAGGGTTTGTAAGCAAACTCTATGGATCCTGATTAGACTGCGCGGATGCGCAGGCTGGTCTGGATCCATGCTGGTCACAATAGATTATGTTGGTTTTGTCATGACGCGGCTCATATGTTTAGAATAACACTGTCCTTTGATTAAAGAATGATAATTCAAAGTTATCCTATGTTTAGAATAGACTATGAGAGTATGTACATGTATATTTCATACTGTACTCAAATTGTTTTGCTCTGACTACATAACACCTGGCATGAACAGAACATAGCAGGTGAAATTGTATGTGCTAACCTAATTACCTTTCAATAACATCTCGTAAAATGAGTACATACATGTACTTAAACATAGAAAAAAGAAGAAACAAAAAAGAATAAATTAAAACGAACTACACAATACTGGATTAAAATGGTGCACAAACTAGAAAAGAACAAATTGATTCAAGAAAAACCAAGTTCCTGTGGAGGAATATTTAAACAAATTCAAATTAAAACAAGAGGGCCATGATGGCCCTGAGTCGCTCACCAGAAACAACTGCTTTTCAGTGTTGGAATGTCAATATATTCTCATATTAAACTTGAGCATAGAATATGTTTAAACAATAATTTGAAGAAATGCCATGACCTGGGGAATTTAAGCTTTAGCTTAAACGGGGCTAATCAAGTTAATATGAGCAAACTTGATAAAAGACTACCTAAAAATGCTACAAAGTTTGGTGAACATCTATCATTTATTTCAGTAGGAAATGATGTTCGAAGGTTTTTTCTAATTTTAGCTTTAGTGGCCCCTAAAAGGGGCTAATCAAATTAGTATAAGCAAACTTGATAAAAGAGTACCCAAGAATGCTACAGACAAAGTTTGGTGATCATCCATCAATTGGTTCTGAAGTAGGAGATGTTTAAAGGTTTTTCTATTTTTAGCTTTAGCGGCCCCTAAAAGGGGCCAATCAGATTAATGTGAGCAAACTTGATAAAAGATTACCCAAGAATGCTACAGACAAAGTTTGGTGATCATCCATCAATAAGTTCTGTAGAAATAGAAATTTAAAGGTATTTCTATTTTTAGCTTTTGAGGCCCCTAAAAGGGGCCAATAAAAATAATATTAGCAAACTTGATAAAAGACTACCCAAGAATGCTAAATACAAAGTTTGGTGATCATCCATCAATTAGTTCTCTAGAAATAGACATTTAACGGTATTTCTATTTTTAGCTTTAGTGGCCCCTAAAAGGGGCCAATCAAATTAAAATGAGCAAACTTGATAAAACACTACCCGAGAATGCTGTCGACAAAATTTGGTGATCGTCCATCAATTAGTTCTGTAGGAGAAGATGTTTAAAGGTTTTTCTATTTTTAGCCCTAGAGACCCCTAAAAGGGGCCAATCAAAATAATATTAGCAAACTTGATAAAAGACTACCCAACAATGCTACAGACAAAGTTTGGTGATCATCCATCAATTAGTTCTCTAGAAATAGACATTTAACGGTATTTCTATTTTTAGCTCTGCTGACCCCTAAAAGGGGCCACTTGGAATGACATGAGCAAATTCAAGTGTGACTGTCACAAGGATGCTACAGACCAAATTTGAAGTAAATCTGCCCAACAGTTTCAGAGAAGAAGATGATTGTTGGCACATGACGACGGACGCCGGAGCATCCCCCTTTGATACTAATACCTCACCCTGAGCCTTCGGCTCTGGTGAGCTAATAATCAAAATTAGGATATTTTTATATAACAATGAAGAATATGAATTTGGAAACTCAATTTATTTACTGGAAAACATGTATAAAATTTCTAATCAGTAATTAAGACTTTAACATTACATAACACAATATTTGTGCAAAAACATTAGTAAGATAAGATCTTTAATACATTTCTAGAACCTAACAAAGTTCTTCTCTGATGTTATCAATGGTAGGATACTGGGTCATCGTGCACCTGCAAAATGCTCCCAATTGGTCTGTATTTTTCATCAAATCGAAGAAAAAATAATTTTTTATTCTAAGAAATTGTTAGCACATCAAAAATATTTTACCTTAAATTTAACTGGATACAAAAAAATCAGATTGGGAGCATTTTGCAGGTGCACGATGACAAAGTATACTACCATTTGTTATGTCACATCAAACGTGCAGGAAATATTCAGAAAGTTTACAAATATGCTAGTCTACAATACATGAATATATTGTATAAATAACATTTAAACAAACCTTTTTTAGTTCCTCTTTCATCTTGGCTGCCTCTACTGGGTTATTGTATCTGAACATATTTGTCTTTCCCAGAACAACCACCGCTCCTGAAAGTTTTAAAAAACACATTGCATTTATATTGTAGAACAATGGCATGTATGTTCTTCATTCTTAATATATTTAAACTTCTTTATAAATGACAAAGAAGAACTTTATAATGAATAAATGATGGTTGCAGAAAAATGTTAGATGCTTGTAGCCTGAAAAAAAGTCGCAATCAATGTGAAATAATTTGTCATAAAAGTAGCAAAATGTAAACAAAGTAGTATTTTGACTTCCATACCAAATACTAATTCACTATAAAAATACTTATTGCCAAAAAGCAACAAATGAAAAAGATTGTTCCGGTAATTGGCCAATGAGTAACATCAGGCTTGTTACGGTAAGGTGTTTCTTTTGTTAATTATCATCATTTATTTACTTTATCTCCTTTTTTCACTGTTGTCACATAATATGCTTCATTGTTTCAAAGTCTATGTTAATTGTGTTAACCAATCATTATCCAGTTTTAGTTTAGTTATGTTATTTAGTCATGTACATCTTGTACAATATTATTACTGTTGATTATATGCCTGAAAAGGCCAATAATTGGATAAAACATTTATTCTATTTTATTTCATTTTATTGTATTCTATTCAATGATGTAGACTAGTCTGAGCCTATACTGGTGACACAGGCCTACACTTATCTTTGTGGTAAATTGTAGCTCACCTTGAGTAAGTTTGATATGTTCTGATACAATATTGCCGTTCACACAGCACAATGCCTCGTCACCCGGGTATAATGTGACAGTGTTGTCCACGTTCTCTATCACACAATGTTCCTTCTCTACTTCCTCTCCTGCTATCACTGTAACATTATCATAACATTATCATAACATTATCATAACATTATCATAACATTGATCATCACATTGATCATTTAAACATGACTGATGTCAGTGACCTGGTTATAGTTAACTTCTACACAAAATATGTACCGAAATTATTAAGAAATTCAACTTCAAAGAATTGCTCATTTATGTCAAACCTACAAATTACTCTGCCAACTATATTTCAAGAATCAGTACTTAGAGGTAATCTGGATAGAGGATTCTAGAACATTTGTCCCCTCAGATATTAATCCCACACATTTCCTTTCTTATTTTGTTGTGGTGGACATATACCACTTTGAAGATGCAATTTATGTACAATCTATCAACACTGACACTATAAAAATCATATGGTGACTTTCCAACTATACTGGTGGAAGAAAACCTAAGGAGTCCTCCTGTGCTTTACATGTATTTCAATTTTATTATAGACCACCAAATGATCCTGTAATAGTTGATAATTTCCCACATAATGAAAAATTAACTCTGCCTACATTAGAACCTTAAGCTGTCAGGGGCAAGAGATTCAAAGTCAGTGACTGTAACCATTAGACCAATAAGGCCCCTTATGTATCAAATAATGTTACATAAAAAGGCCCCCATATGTACTAACTAGTGTTCAAGATACATTAAGGCACCTTTATGCATAAATAATTTCATAGATATATAAAGGCCACCTTATGTAAAAAATAATGTTAAAGTTATATAAAGGCCCCTCATTTCAAAAAAAAATAATTACGTATGTAAAGGGCCCTTATGTAAAAAAAAACATTTTGATAAAATAAAGTACACTGGACCTTTTTCTACTGGTGATAGCATCACTTCTTCCCCCTTTCCTTTTTTTACTTCCTGTATAAATATATACATTCATTTATATACATGTAGCATAATTCTTATCACAGTGTTTGATTGCTTCACCTTTGATACATGTATCTTAAATTTATCTTAGATTGGGGTCTAATTGAGTTTTAATGAAACTTTTAACGCTCTGAAAATATCTCTTCAAATTATATCTAAAGTACTGAAATCACTGAATCAGAAGGTCTAGAACAATATAACAACACTGAAGTGAAGTACAGAATATATATTTGAGCCGTGTCACGACAAAACCAACATAATGCGTTTGCGACCAGCATGGATCCAGACCAGCATGCGCATCCGCGCAGTCTGATCAGGATCCATGCTGTTCGCTATCAGTTTCTCTACTTGTAATAGGGTTGGTAAGCGAACAGCATGGATCCTGATCAGACTGCACAGATGCGCAGACTGGTCTGGATCCATGCTGGTTGCAAACCCATTATGTTGGTTTTGTCATGACGCGGCTCATATGAATTAATATAAACCTTTAGATGGAACAGCATAATGCCTGTACTGAGAATATCATCATCTATACCAATAAGATGAGGTAACGCTGAGTCCAGAACAACACCAGCACCCTCCTTCCTCAACGCTAGAGTACCCTGCTCCTGTAATATCATTGTTAATATCATAACATATTAAAGTTTCTTATTGCATATAAACGAAAGCTAAAATAGTCATATTATTATTTAAGGTACTTCCAATTAAACATCAAATTCTTTCTATGTACATTTTCTTCTTTTTCTTTCTAGATGCTTATAATTATACACCTACAGTATAGAGCCTGGTCAAACTGAGGAGATGTGAGGCAGGTATAGTTATATACAGGTAACAAAAGCTATTAACTTGCAATTTTAGCAAGTCAAGCATAAAGGTCATATGGATTCCTTTCAAATATATTTGGCCAAGGAAATTACTCTAAATTCTCTTTCATGCATTTTTCCAGATATTATCAGAAAGGGAGGTAGAAACAATGATCTTCAGTCAAATAAGAATTACGTTGCTATAATTTAAAGTTTTAAATTATGTGACTTTTATTATCGAATTTATAAGAATTATTTTTTCATTAACCATGTTTTGAAACTCGAAAATACCTGTAGCTTAATATTAATTAATTCTCAAGGAGATCTATCTGCTATATCAATTGATACAACACACAAATATTTTCAAAAATTCAAATGACCCAAAGTTAAATATTCTACGAGCAAAAAATCTAAAGAAGAAAATATACCTTTAGTATATTTGCAATATCTTTCCATTTCTCACTCCATTCTTCTGTCAGTACTTTCATCTACAAACATTCATTATATTTTTTAAACATTTCAAACAGATCACTTTAGACTTATGTCAAAATTTAACATTCCATGAAAAATTGCTACATTGTATACATGTCATTATTTAGAGTAAAGTACTTTTAAGTTTCATTCAGTTTAAAAAAAAAACAACATGATATTTATACAAATGAAATACTTTATCACATATTAATTCAGAGATAGTACTACCCAACATACATTCTTTTCACATCAAAGTTTGTGGAAATTTAACATTATTGTGTCACAGTATACAGTGAAGATGATTTCAAATTTTGTATGATTATCTAATAACTCTAATGAACTAAAGAACAAAATGTTGTTTAATTTGGTCTTAGCTTATACAGAATTTATTTTATTTCACTTGCGCAAGAAGCTTTTTGTTCTGAAACCAACAAGTACTGAGCAATAGGTGTAAAGTTTTTTTAACTAAAGGTATCAAGGGCTTGTCACTGATGGGGTTCGAACCCATGCAGATAGTGACCCTTACAAAACTAGTCTGATGCATTAACCACTGGGCCATGCTGTTACTTCTAATTTGGTCTTATTACAGAGATGGTCCTTATATCTCAGGTTTGACTGTTATTACAAAATTGCCAGGCACTTGATTATAATTAGATAAATGAGGAACATTTTAATTAATTTTTTGTCATACAGGTTTAATCAATTATTTGACAAATTACCATATTTACATGATCACTGTGTACTTACTCTAGCCTCACTTTCATGTAGCCTCTCTTTCACTTTAGGTGCTGATATACTATCCTGTAATATAATAACATAATATAGTAAAGAAGATTCATGTCATCAAGGTCAAATTGAAGGTCATGACCTCAAATCACACATATTCAATTGATAAACTAAACTTGTAAAGGGTACAATAAACAAGTCAATTACAGGTTAAGTATTGTGATCGTTAAATGATCTACTAATCACAACAATTTTACTATATAACTTAGTCTATGGTATATAAAAAGTGCTCTACCACACATCTTGTAAATAGCTAAGAATAGAATTAAAATATAGAATATACAACTGAGCAATTAGCTTGCAGGGATTTATGACCTAATTGTTATGCCAGTCACAAATTATGACTCTAGTTACCTCCCTTGACTTAATATATACTTGTCTACATTACAGCAAATTTATTTTGTAAAAGCAAGCTGGTAATAAGATAATCATAATCATAATCTGACTTTGTGCATCACTAAACATAAGTTCATGGAATCCACAGTCACTACAAAAATCATCCGGCAAAGTCAGAAATTTGTGTTTATTTGTAGGTGTGTTTTTAGTTTTAATGCAGATTTTAACACAATTTTTTTTGGGTCATAAAATGCTGGTGACAAGGTGCTGTGACAAATTTCTTTACGAAAACTTGAAACAAATGACATAATATTCTTAAAAGAACAAGACCTATAACATTAAATATTAATAATGTATATGACTTTACCCTGGTCAATCGTATGCAATAATCCATTTAACCAATAAAGTGTCACCCTGTCCAGGCATTTGGTCTAGTGCACTAGAAGTACACATGGTGTGCACTTCTAGTTCAGGTCTTGTGCACACCATGTGTACAAGTGTGGGAACTTTAGTTTGAACTCAACGGTATATATCTTTTCAGTTTTATAGTGTCACTTAAAAAATAAAAACTCTACAAAATCACATGACTCATTCACATGGTGGATTTTGATCTAGGCAATATCTGTCAGGTGTTAATCATGTAAACATATCATATGTTTCTGGTACTTACAATATCGCCACCAACCATAGCTTTCAAACGTTCTATTTCCTCTCTCAGTTCTCGTATAATCTTCACATTCTTATCCTATAACACAAGGTAAGTAGTTATACAGATTTATTTACATAAATAAACAACATTACTAGCTGTACAACTAGAACGTTTATGCCATTTTAATGAAAATATTAACTTGCCAACAAGGAACTTACACATTAAAGAAAATGAAAATCCTAAACAGATCTTAATTAACAAAAATATATTTTTCATTTTCAATGTTTATAAAATCAATGCCTTTCTACCAAATAAAATTAAAACTGTGTTACACCTTATCACCTTCTTGTAAAAAAATTGTGGTGATGGTGGTGGTAGTTTTCACTCCGGATTACGGCAGTAAGCCACGTTGTAAAAAAATGGCTATCAACAATAGTATTTAAAGTTCTTATATGATGACTATTCAACACAACAACACAAGACATGTATATAAACAAGGATACCTCATTTACAGTGGGTCTGTTGATAATGTTCTTGGCTCTATTAGCATATCTGAGGGCACTCAATGTCTCTGCATAGTTCACATCGGCAGGTGATATAGCTACAATATAATATAGATAACATTTCTTTATTACAACTAAAATTTGACATTTTTCATACAGTTCTTTTTTATTCATTGGTTGGTTCTTTACAATGATGAAGACATCATGAGAAAAAACAAGAGGGCCATGATGGCCCTGAGGTCGCTCACCTGTATATAGCCCCCCCCCAACCCCCATACCCCTACCCCCCAACGTTGCAGGGCCAATTTAACCCAAGGGCTTTTATTTGCACAAACTTGGTAGACACCCATAAGAAGATGTTTTATGCTAAACATCTAAGCTCTAGCTCATTGGGCTTTTTAAAAGAAGATTTTTTAAAAGTTTTTACTATACACATATAGTTAAAAACAATGACACCCCTGGGGCCGGGCCAGTTTTGACCCCAGGGCTTTTATTTGAACAAACTTTGTAGATACTTACTAGAAGATGTTTCATTCTTAATATTTAAACTCTAGCTATTTGGGTTTTTTTCAAAGAAGATTTAAGTTTTTGCTATACACATATAAAGAAAATCAATGACCCCCGGGGCAGGGCCAATTTTGACCCCAGGTCTTTTATTTGAACAAACTTTGTAGACACTCACTAAAAGATGTTTCATGCTTAATATCTTAACTCTAGCTATTTGGGTTTTTTCAAAGAAGATTTTTTAAGTTTTTGCTATACACATATAAGGAAAATCAATGACCCCCGGGGCGGTGCCAATTTTGACCCCAGGGCTTTTATTTGAACAAACTTGGTAGACAACTATTAGAACATGTTTGATGCTAAATATCTTAGCCATAGCTCTTTGAGTTCTTTAAAAGAAGATTTTTTAAGTTTTAACTATATGCATATAGGGAAAAACAATGACCCCCGTGGCGGGGCCAATTTTGACCCCAGGGCTTTTATTTGAACAAACTTTGTAGACACTTATTAGAACATGTTTCATGCTAAATATCTTAGCTCTAACTCTTTTGGTTCTTTAAAAGAAGATTTTTTAATTTTTTACTATATGCATATAGGGAAAATCAATGACCCCCTAGGGCGGGGCCAATTTTGACCCCAGGGCTTTTATTTGAACAAACTTGGTAGACACCTATTAGAACATGTTTGATGCTCAATATCTTAGCCATAGCTCTTTGAGTTCTTTAAAAGAAGATTTTTTAAGTTTTTACTATATGCATATAGGGAAAATCAATGACCCCCCGGGGCGTGGGCCAATTTTGACCCCAGGGCTTTTATTTGAACAAACTTGGTAGACACCCATTAGAACATGTTTCATGCTAAATATCTTAGCTCTAGCTCTTTGGGTTCTTTAAAAAAAATTTTTTATGTTTTTACTATATGCATATAGGGAAAATCAATGACCCCCCGGGGCGAGGCCAATTTTGACCCCAGGGCTTTTATTTGTACAAACTTCCTAGACACTCACTAGAAAATGTTTCATGCCAAATATCTAAGCTCTAGCTCTTATGGTTTTTTAAAAGAAGATATTTAAAGTTTTTTCTTTCGGTTGCCATGGCAACCAGAGTTCTGCATGGAATTAAATTCTTTGAACAATTTTTAAAGGTGACCACCAAAGGAACATTCCTGTGAAGTTTGGATGAAATTGGCTTAGTGGTTAATGAGGAGATGTCATTTAAAGTAAAAGTTTACGGACGGACGACGGACGGACGCCGGACGAAAAGCGATCACAAAAGCTCACCCTGTCACTTTGTGACAGGTGAGCTAAAAATTCAAACTTTGAAAGCAGACCACATAACCAAATTAACCCTGTAAAGGTCATATGATAACTTCTACAGGTAATGAAAGATCTTAGCTGCAGATCCTTGTGTTATTTCAAATACAGGCGGACAGAAGAGTAAAACCAATGATCTCCAGTAGGCAAACTTGAGTAAGACTATTTTTCATTAAGATCTCTTGATTAATGTTCAACCATACATAAGTTGTTTTTTTTAATAAGATTGCCATTAAAGCAAATTGACTTACTTGTAACCATGATAGTTCTAGAGTTTCCACCTAGACTGTCCTTCAACAACCATGTGAGTACAGAATCTCTGTATGGAATGAAATGCCCCTTTCCAGCCCTCAACCCTTTCTCTGATACCTCGGCTACAGAAAAATCAAAACTTCAATGTTTTACCACAAAGAATACTTTTTTTTAAGATTAAAACTTAAAGCAGCTTCCAGATTCATGCTTATTTTACATGAAAATTTTGAAAATGTATTAAGAAATAAAATACTGTCAACTGAACAAAGAAAGAAATTTACACATTGAAAACGGCACATTTAATCCAAGTCAATGTCAGAATATGCAAAAATAACCCTTACTGCATGACTATTTCAAAATCAGTCACTTACTGACACTGCATATAACATGTCAATCATTACTTGAATTGCAAATATTTCTACTTTTTTAAAAATCTTTGTTTTTCTCACAGTTGATTTTCCTGATTTTTGGCTTGCCAGAAGGCATGCAGTTATAAGTAAATGAAGGAACATATATACATGTATATCTTTTATAACATAGGAAACAATACATGTTAACATCTCACCTAATTGTTTGATAACAGTTCCAAGAGAGACAAGAGATTTATTGATACTTCCTCCTTCACGTAACCTTTGACCTGTTGCTCCTGTAGCAGTAGCCCTCTCACTATATACATGTAATTATAACAAATAATTATATAGTTATACATCTACATAAAACTATACAAAGTAAAAGTATCAAATCTTGATTTTATTTTAACTTTTGTTTAAATATTAATTTTAAATTGTTTATAAATAATACCAATGAACATATGAGTAAAAGTTAAAAAAAAGTTTTAAGTAGATCTATTAAGTATATTTAAGTATTTGTAACAAGAAGTGAAGGGGTATTGATGGGAGCGTATGCATGTAGACAAATGTTACAAAATCTTTGTGAATATCTATTATCTAAATTAATTCTACTAAAAAGATAAAAAATATATTTCAATATGACTCTTTTTTCATTTCCTCTCTGAGAGCCAAGAACTACTTTTCCAAAATTCTGTTATAAAGCACACAGATTTCAAATACTCTATTTCTACAAGTTTCTACCAGTTGCTCTAGAACACATTTGACAAGAAACATGGCAATGCCATGAAACCAGGTTTTCAATTATCACCATTGTAGATAAATATGTTGTATTTGAAATACAAATACAAGCAACAAACAATGTAACTATGTGCAATGTAATACATGAATAATGTAGGAGGAATTGCCACAGAGGAAGTGTTCACTATAATTATATTCTGTATAAGGAAAAAAAAACAAAGGGCCATAATTAAATAAAAAATTATTCAATAACAAAACCCCGACAATATGCACCAGGGCACTGGATGACAAAGCTACTGTGAAAGTTTGAAAAAAATCCGTTGAGAAATGTAGGAGTTCAGCACTGAAATTTTTTTTCACTATATATTCTGTATAAGGAAAAATAACAAAGGCCATAATTAGGTCAAATATTATCCAATCACAAAACCCCCATAATGTGCGCCAGGGCACTTGATGACGAAGCCTCTGTGAAAGTTTGGTCAAAATCTGTTGAGAAATGAAGAAGAAGTTGCGCATGGTAAAAAATTGTTCACTATATAATCTGTATAAGGAAAAAAAACAAAGGGCCATAATTAGGTCAAATATTATACCAATGACAAAACCCTGACAATATGCCCTACGGCACTTGATGACAAAGCCTCTGTGAAAGTTTGGTCAAATTCCGTTGAGAAATGTAGGAGGAGTTGCGCACAGAAAATTGTTCACTATATATCCTATATTGGAAAAAAAACAAAGGGCCATAATTAGTTCAAATATTATTCAATCACAAAACCCCGACATTATGCACCAGGCCACTAGATGACAAAGCCTCTGTGAAAGTTTGGTCAAAATCCATTGATAAATGTAGGAACAGTTGGGCACAGAAGAAATTATTCACTATATATTCTATATAAGGAAAAAAAAAACAAAGGGCCATAATTAGGTCAAATATTATCCAATCACAAAACCCCGACAATATGCGCCAGGTCACTTGATGACAAAGCTTCTGTGAAAGTTTGGTCCAAAATCCGTTGAAAAATGTAGGAGGAGTTGCGCACAGAAGAAATTGTTACGCCCGCCCGCCCGTCCGCCCGCCCACCCGCCCGCCGACATACCTCAATCTAATAACCAGTTTTTTCCTTCGGAAAACCTGGTTAACAAGTAAATCATTCAGAGTTCAGAGCTTGGGCTGTGTCACAACCTTACATTAATCACTCTTAACATTAATATGTAAAGATTTGCATATGTTAACAGTATGGGAGTAGGCCAATATGAACATTTGTCTAATCTGATTTGAGTTTCAAGTGTTGTCTGTCTGATTTTAACAGTCTGATATTGAAACCAACTATTTTCAAACTGAAAGTGTGGCTAATTTGAAATCCTCTTCATAAACAACATATATAATTCCAATCTGAAAACATTGCTTATTTGAAATCCTTTAAATTAACATTATAAAATTCCAAATTCAAAGCAAGACAAGACTTCAAATAAATAAAGCATTGAGAGAGAGAGAGAGAGAGAGAGTAGCTTCACATAAACTTATTTATAAAAGCTTTATAGTGTTGTATCAAAAAAACATTGTTTCTAAAAGCTAAGACTGTAAAGCAAATAGATAGAATTATTGTAAAGTAAATAGTTAAGAGCAAGCAAACACTACATAAGGCAGCAAGGAATAAAGAAGAGATGTACCTTCCAGCCAGATCCACTAGATGAACTTTACTCATCTTTTCACTAGGTATACCATCTTTTATAGTTGCCTGTATAATATATATACACAATATGATGGAGTGTGGTAACTGATATATATGTACACAATATAATGGAGTGTGGCAACTGATATATATGTACACAATATGATGGAGTGTGGCAACTGATATATATGCACACAATATGATGGAGTGTGGCAACTGATATATATGCACACAATATGATGGAGTGTGGCAACTGATATATATACACACAATATGATGGAGTGTGGCAACTGACATATATGCACACAATATAATGGAGTGTGGCAACTGATATATATGTACACAATATGATGGAGTGTGGCAACTGATATACACACAATATGGTGGAGTGTGGTAACTGATATACACACAATATGATGGAGTGTGGCAACTGATAAATACACAATATGATGGAGTGTTGCATATGATATATATGATGAAGTGTGAAAAATGATATACAAACACACAATATATAATGATGTGTGGCAACTGATATATAGGTTATATATATATAGATTAGATAGGGAGAGGAGAGTTTTTAGGTTAAATTTCTCGGAAGACCTTCAATGCCATTCTATACATTAATACATTAATCAGATCACTGACAGGTCAGCAATCTTTAACAACCTAGTTAAAAAGGTTCCTCATATAAAATTATGCTAAATCTTCAAAGTATTCAAACCAAACAGTATGTGATAGAGCAATTGATTGTAGATCTTCAATGACTCATTGAAGTCACAGAGGTTTCACTACACTAGTTGGATTTTATACATGTAATAGGACACATGTATTTTTAAAATATATCCACATTATTGTTATTATATCCATTTTGATCACTTGTAAAAAGCACAGCAGTCTATATTTCCAACAAATACCAAATTGATGTTTTTCTTTCAGTTTACACCTTGTTATTAGCATACTGATCCTTATGAACTTCTGACATATTACCTTCACTTTGACTTTTTTCAAAAATGATTTTTTTCCTTGCTTTATATGTTTTTTTTTTGTTGTTTTTTGGTTTTTTTTAATGAAAGACTCATAACAAACATATTTTTAAATTTGAAAAGTCAAATTATTTGGTCCCTTAATAGTTTTTTTTAATTTTTTAATCCTTATTCAATTTTTTATAATGACCCAGTTTATCATTTCAAATAGAATTGTATGTTTATCATTTTAAATAAAATTGTATGTTTATCATTTTTAATAAAGTTGCATGTTAATCTTTTTTCAAATCATGCTTATGTTTATCTATTGCACATCTGACTATATTTTCAATTCTCATAAACCAATATGTTTCATAAGTAACTCATAATTTCATGTAAAGACTTTTAAAAAAATGCCTCAGAAGTATTAATGGTGAGTTATTGATGAATAAATTGACAGATGTATAAAGATACAAGTGAAACAGTTCTATAAGATTACAAAGAAGTGTTGTTGTTGATTGAAAAAATTAGTAACAATTGGATAAATTTCATCATATTACCATTAGGTAATTAATCAGGTAATTACCAGTCCAGTATTGCCTGTATTCAGTGCCACCATTAGGTTACTGCTTCTGATTTAGAAATGTGTACTGAATGAATTAATCAGGATAAATGTGTTGTTTCAATGAACTATATAACTAGCTTACTACATACTACTAATATATAACTGTAAGTAAAATGGGCGGGAACCACTAGCAGACGGCAATAAATAATTTCGATATAAGGTATAGATATATAATATAACATACCTGAGTAAAGACAATAGTAAATATAGCATGTGACCTACTGCTAACATCGTTCATGTTGGTTGATGCAGTTGTTCTGTAATATATATATAACAATCATATATCAATATCAGGCAGTTTGACAGAATTAAACCTAAAATACAAAACTATTATTTCAGTACTTTTGAAGCATTTTTTCTTTAGTTTTCATTTTAACTTTCACTGTGGAACCATCTAAAGAAAGTCAAGAGCTTGGGCACACAACACACAATGTTGTTATCTGAAACACTTTTAAAATACTTATAGAGGAAGTCCTGTAATAAAATTGAAAATGTTGCAGCATCAATTTATCAGTATTTTCATGGACTAAAGTAGCTAATGAAGGCCACTGTCATATCACTTCGAATATAGCAGAAATCAACGCTGGAAATAATATGTTATAATTATGATTGTAGCAACGTCATAAGTGTACAAGACCATTTCAAGGGGGACAATATATTAATGAAGAATATAATGAATTTTTTAAAAATTAAAATGTCTTCAAGTTTAAGCCAATAGTAATATTTTCAGAATGTCCCTTTTATAGAGACAGTATAGTAGAGCATTACAATCATTAAAAAGAATTCTACCTGACAGAATTTCCTTTTTGCATTAACGCTTGTATTTCTCCAAAACTGTGAACAATATACTTGGATAAACCTGAAATATACATTAAATAACTGATATCACATATTTGGTTTGTGTTGAATTTAGTTAAGTCAGATTGTGGAAAAAGCTTATAGACACACTTTCCAAACTGATCCTGGAACCAACCAGTACAGAGCAAGTAAATTGGAACCAACCAGTACAGAGCAAGTAAATTGGAACCAACCAGTACAGAGCAAGTAAATTGGAACCAACCAGTACAGAGCAAGTAAATTGGAACCAACCAGTACAGAGCAAGTAAATTGGAACCAACCAGTACAGAGCAAGTAAATTATCTTGCAATATGAAACAATGACAGGTCCCTAACAGTGTTTGAACCCAAGCAAATAGCCATATCAGCCTCGCCTGATAAAATTGATATCAAAAGACAGTAGCATGTTATTCTCTATATGTCTACATGTAGGTATTATTATATACAATAGATGATATAGCTTTAGAAAAGTTCATATTTTAAGATGCTTTTGGGTGTTTTTTTTTAACTTATTCTTTTTTCTAGGCGAAATATTTTACTATAATAAAGTTTAAACAAACCTTGGACATAGGGACCATCTTTTGGATGCTCTCTAACCCTGAGATTATGGACAACATTGTGGGTGTTTGTAACTTTGAGCAAATCTCGAACTTTCTCGTTGTATATTTCTAAATAACTGAAAAATAGTAATAAATACAGTCGTATACTTCTTATTTACAGAAAAGGGTATCTTAGATATATCATGTCTTTGACAATTAAGTTCAATTGGAATATTCATCTAGACATACATGTACTATGCGCTATTGTTTTCTAAATTGCAATACAAACAATATTAATACAACTAGTAACTGTTGTCATATTTGTAACCACTTTCCTTTAACACCACCAATAACATGTTTGATAACCTCCAGCAACAAGATAACTTAAGAGTCCAAGTAGGATACGAAACTACATGTAATGTCTTATGATCGAAAGTCAAAAATGTAACAAATGTTCTATATCCAATCAAGGTACAAAAATCATACTTAAAACCAATTAAATGTTATACAAGATAACAATACAGATGTTCATCATCTGATATAAGTATATACCTGACTTCAGTCCTGTAGCTTGTTGTCTCATGATCAGTCATTCTGTTAAACAATTCTTGACAAATACGAGGTATCAATCCAACATCATCCTGTAATACATGTACATCATACTCTTTACCAACAGCAATATCATCATTTTATTATTATTAGCATGTTCATCACAATAATAACAATCATCATCAATATTAACATACTCATCAACAATATACTTATTGGCATTTTCATCATCAATATCATTACTTATTTCATCATGTTTTTTATCATCAACTCTATCATCATCACTATCACCATCACCATCACCACCATCATTATCAAAAGATGATCAAATCAATCAAAAGCATCATTATCATCATCTTGGTGATCATAATTACCACACATACATGTACATGTATCATCATCAAAACTATTATCCAAAACATTATCATCAGGAATGTTATGATTAACAAAAATTCTAGTCATCTCAGAAATCAACTAAATGATTTATTTTCATGAATTTTTTTATATATTACTAATCTCGGTTTTGATTATGTAGATAAAATAGGAATTAAATTTGGTGAAAAACATACAAACATTTAAGTACTAATGTAAGTTACATTCTACTATACAATCAAATATCTGTATTGAGTACTTACTGGGGGTCCCATCATTGTATATGTTTTCCCTGAGCCAGTCTGTCCATATGCAAACACACAGGCATTGTAACCTTCAAATGCTGAATCAACCACATCAACACCTAAACACTTGTACACCTGAAGAAATAAACATACATAACACATGTACACCTGAAGAAATATACATACTTAACACATGTACACCTGAAAAAATAAACATACATAACACATGTACACCTGAAGACAATAAAAATACTTAACACATGTACACCTGAAGACAATAAAAATACTTAACACATGTACACCTGAAGACAATAAAAATACTTAACACATGTACACCTGAAGACAATAAAAATACATAACACATGTACACCTGAAGACAATAAAAATACTTAACACATGTACACCTGAAGACAATAAAAATACTTAACACATGTACACCTGAAGACAATAAAAAAACATAACACATGTACACCTGAAGACAATAAAAATACATAACACATGTACACCTGAAGACAATAAAAATACATAACACATGTACACCTGAAGACAATAAAAATACATAACACATGTACACCTGAAGAAATATACATACATAACACATGTACACCTGAAGAAATATACATACATAACACATGTACACCTGAAGAAATATACATACTTAACACATGTACACCTGAAGAAATAAACATACATAACACATGTACACCTGAAGACAATAAAATACATAACACATGTACACCTGAAGAAATATACATACTTAACACATGTACACTTGAACACCTGAAATTTTTTTTTGAAGTGTCACAGAACTGACCAATATCCCCACCATCCCTAACACAGGATTTTAGCCATTATCCTCACCATCCTTAAGACACAGGATTTTAGCCAATATCCCGACCATCCTTCAGACACAGGATGTTATGTAGGTCCATTTATCATAATTTTTTAAGGTGAGCATTTGAGCTAAGTTTGCAAAAAATTAGAGAGTAAATAGAATTTATAGTGTGAACATGAGTCACAAAAATATCTGATATTTGACCTTCAGGGGTGACCTTGACCTTCAGCTGGCACAGCAGTGACATGGGTTCTTAAGAGCACCTTGTTGGAATGAACATTTGAGCAAAGTTATAGAAAATATATCATGGTGTATCGGTTTTATAGAGCAGACAGGAAATTGTCAGATTTGACCTTCATGGGTTTACATGAGTCATGGTGATGACCTTGAGGCAGCACAGTCATGGCATGAGTTCTGCACATCATTTTGATCCTGTGAACATTTGAGCCAAAACTTTAGAAAATCATTCAAGGGGTAAGGATTTATTGAGTTGGCATTAAATTTGTAAATTTATGACCTTTGAATCAAATTTAACACGAATCTCTTACACCTAATAAAACAAGCATTTAATGTAGTCTACATAAAACTTGAACAAATCATTCATAAAACTTGTGCCCCTGAACAAATCAAACATAAAACTTGTTCACTTGAAAAAAATTAACAAACATAACATGTGTACACCTGAACAAAATAACCAAACACTGAATAAACCATATTATGATCTTATTATAACGTTACAGTATTATTTGTACTTGAAGCCAGTGACATGAAAAAGTGAGATTTTTTTCAGTTCAGAGAAAACCCAATTCTTTAAATGTACCATACCAGGTGTGGCTTTAAAAATTCTTGGTTTAAATCAAAAAGCTGTAGTGTAAGCTGTTAACAGAGTGTAATAATGAAGCAACAGGGACGCTAATGAATCATTTTAACATTTATTCTCTCAGAAATTTATTGAAAATAAAGATACAATTTAATTAAGAGCTATTTAAAAGAGGAGTGTCAAGGGATAAAATGAGCATTATTGAAGATATTTAAGACACATAGCATGTGGTATTTGACAAAATAACTATGAATATAAACCCTCTAGGATGTTCAAGTCTCCACATAGTGTTGTCTCACCCTCACAATGAAATATATGACATTCCAAGGTAATTATATATGAGCCGTGTCATGACAAAACCAACATAGTGCGTTTGCGACCAGCATGGATCCAGACCAGACTGCGCATCCGCACAGTCTGATCTGGATCCATGCTGTTCGCTATCAGTTTCTTTACTTGTTATAGGGTCTGTAAGCGAACAGCATGGATCCTGATCAGACTGCGCGGATGCGCAGGCTGGTCTGGATCCATGCTGGTCGCAAACGCATTATGTTGGTTTCGTCGTGACGCGCCTCATATTATGTGATACTAATGAGGGAGATGTTCAGGTGAGGCTGTTTAAATACTAGTCACTGTTGCTAACTCATAATTATATATGGTTATATGCTGGAAATATCTCTACATCAATTATATCCCCATATCTCCATTATACAGCAATATCGCATGCTGAAAATATATCCTTCACAATCTGTTAACATATTTTCTTCCATTTATAATCCATTAACTAGAAAACCTGCACATAACAAGATACAAAATAGTAGTTAATGTGACTACAATAAAAAAAATGGTCTCAAAAAACCATTGTCACTTTTGTTACCAAAAAATTCCAGCTGAGTATATGGCAATTTGTCAAGTGATACAAGGGTTAATGTGATACACTTATAATAACACACAAAAAGCAACAAAAGAAAAAAAATGCTCATAAAATTAATGTGTAATATACATAAATTAGTCATCCCCATTACTATCACAAGAGGATTGTTTACCTTAGAAAACTTGGAAATATATTCTCTTGTTACTCACTGTAAGTGAATATATTCAGCAATTTAGTTCAAATGTGGCAGCACAGCCGATTTTCAGACTAGTAATCTAGCCGCATGCCTTCAGCAAGAAACTTTATACTTATTGCTCAGTACTGGTTGGTTCCAGGAACTGATTAGAAATTGTGTCTATAAACTTATAGCTTCGTACACAATCAAACTAAAATAAATTCTGTATAAACCAATTAAGTTAAAACCTTTAAAACCAGTAAGTATCTTAAATGGACTGGTCAATTTTTCAATCTGGATAGAACAATTTATCATAATTAGGGGAAAAATATCAAAATAGGTACTGACTGAATAGCAACCATTTCAAACAATGATCATATGTTACAGATGTGCTGGCTGATGGTCACGTGCTTAAAATTAATTGACAACAGCAGTTTAAGGGTTAATCTTATTTCTGCATTCATCATGCACGTGTTAAGGGCATTTAATGAGCAAAAAATAGTTGTGCAGAAATATATTACTGTTAAACAAAACAAGACACATAAACTAGTGTATAAAAACATATTATCACTATAAAATAAATACTATAATTACAGTAGAAAACCAAAATGATTACAGGAGCAAAAATAAGAGATATACATTTTTACTTGCACACTGGTAAACAAATAAATAAATTACTTCATACAACAAAATACAAGTAAAATAGAAGTTAAATGAATCCACAAACAAACAAGAGTTGCAAGTAAGACAGCATACTTGACTTATCCTTGCTTCAATGGTAAACAAGAGGGTCATAATGGCCACACATTGCTCACCTTTGATCCATTGCTAAGAAGTCATTATTTTAATGCAGGAGTAAGTCACAGAGTGAAACCAGGCCAAATTTTGATTTTACATGCTAAAATAAACAAGAGATCCAATTTTGAACTTTGAAGGCTGAAACGTGGTTCTTTGATTATCACAAAGGTGAACCCAAAGGCAAAGTCAAATTTGAACCTGGGGGCATGATTTACATAAATGTAGCTCTTGCAGTGGTCCATTTGACATGACTATGTGCCAAATATATAAGCTTTGTGCAAAGATGGTGTTTTTTTCTATGAAGTGTATGTAGCTGACAGATCCTTACATAGACCTTTTATTTGAATAACAAAGGATTTACAAAACCACAAACACTGACATGTGCTCTTTTGTTAACAACTGAGTTGTGGTGAAATTCTTAGAACTTGTAATGCACTAATCTGATAATTGGAATTAGACAGGTTATGGCCATATAGGACCTATCCATTATTTCTATGTTAGGGCCATTTTTACAAAAGGACACCATCTAAACAATAGGACCATGATGGCTGTTACACGAATAAAAAGGTTCTAAATCACAAGGGATAGATAATATTGACAACTATAAATGAAGAGCAAGCATCAGGCCAAACTCGAAGTAAACTGATATTAAGTTTAATTGGCATGCTAAATTGTTTATACATTGTATACTTAACATATAATATTGTATAGTCTGAATTTCATGGTTGTTTAATCAAAGACATGAATAAACGTCTCAAGGTACAAATCTAGGTCAACTGATATTAAACTTCATGGGTGGCTCTGAAACTGTCCAAAATTGCTCAAAAGTTCATAGCTGTAGCTCTAAACATAAAATAATTAGGTCACTATGTTAAAAGCTAGGGCAATTAATATTAAAATTGATTGATATGTTAAATTGTGTGAAAATAATATAAACAGTAGTCTATATTTTAAGGTTGTAGTTAAAAAAAAACTCCAAAAAGTACCTGTAGGTTACAAATTTAATATCTAGGTCAATTGAAAACAAAGTTGAACTTTACAGAGTTATTCCCCTTCATTTTTTTTTATTTCATATTTTCAGATACATGTAGTCAGAATGGTTTCTATGAGGATTTGTAATATTGCCTTCATAATGTCTGTAAAGTATCACATGTATCTGCAAAAAGCAAATGTCTCTTCTGCTTAGGCAAGTAAAATTTAAAAAGGTTTTTTTTTTTTAAAGGGGGAATATATATATTACTTGGGGGAGGGGAATGGGAGGGCCCTGAAACCGGCTAGATGTCTAAAACTTTGGATGAAAAACAAGGAATTTTTTAAGTTCACACCAATTCAGACAAATTTCATGTCCTTGACAGTAACCTTCAATTATGATACACAATAATAACTAAATTTCAACAAACAAATAACTGTACAAAACAAAACAACAAAATAAACCAGTCAATAAAGGGGCACATTGACAAGTTAATACAACATAATAAGTGCAACAAAATCAGCATTCTTACTTTTTCTTGATCACAGTAAGTTTCTGGATCATCCCTATCAACAGTCCAAAATGAGAAATCAAACGTAAAATCTTTAACTCTCATTGCCTCTCTTGTTGTCTCGGAAACACCATCTAACTTTTCCTCTGCCATCTAAACATATAACAAAACATCTAATTAGTTCTTTCTTCATTTATAAAATATAAACTTTAAGAAAAAACAAATAACAAAAAAAACAACAACAAAAACAAACAAAAACCTAACCTTTAATTTTCTAGAACAGCTGTTGAAGAGATTTCTTAAGAATGGTGCTGTATCTTCAAACCTGATCACAGCAAGATAAATATTTTTTACTTTGATAAATTTACATTTACTCTATAAACTGTGAAGCATTTTCAAATCAAAACTCTTAACTCTACCTAGGCAATTATTCTGCAGCCATGTCTCCTAACTCTATAATCATATAATATTGAATGATAAAAACTATAATCAAAGCATAATATATCTAATACACATATATTTAGCATGTTGTAATTACAAATTAGAATAACATATACCTTAGTGTTGGTAATTGTTGTTTTCTTTCCATCCATCTGTATGATGAACTTACTCTCCATGTCAATCTCCCTGAAACATCAAAAACAGAGAATAAAACTAATGCACTAGTCAACTATAACCTTCTAGTCAACTACATGTATAACCTTCACCCAGTCCCACTCTCACCCCATGAATTTTAAAGCCTGTAAATTGCAACATTCATTATTGCATCATACTTCTAGACAAATAAGTTTAAATTATTTTCAACAGTTTAACGAACTCACATGTCAACATTCTGCAACCAAGGGTTTTTGAAATATTTCTTAAGCTCATTTGCCCAGGTTGCCAAATAGTCATTGGTCCAGAGTCCAGACAGTGTTAAATCTTAATGTGAAATTCCAAATTATTTAATTAATCTTTGTTGTAGTTGCTCATGTTCAATAAATAAGTTTATAAAAAAAATTTTTTGCATTAAACTGAATTTACTCAAAAGTTAAACATGGCGGCTTCTCCCACAATTCAATACCATGTGACCTCAAGCAAGCTAATTCCAATTGGCAGGAACAAAACGAAAGAGCCAATCAACAATAAGGAAAGTCCATGGAAAATATCTTGTAACAGTACACCTTTACAAACTTTAAACACCCACCACATCAGATTCAATAAATGTTTAAAGACCCATCATGTTTAGAAAATGATAAATAAAGTTAAGAATGTAATAACTCATTAAAATTCACATCTGCTACACATATATTACTGAACCAATTTTTTCCATGTGAATATAAACTTATAAAGTGTCCCTTTTCAAAACCTTCACCCTGATATAGACCATTTGAGGTACAAATTACAATGTTTTCAAAAGGATTTTTCATAGGAATCTTCCTGTTACCAGGGAAAATATATCAGCTAGTTTTCTACAAATAAACATTGATGGTTGACCACTCAAATCATAAGCTTTATTGTAATTGACTCTTCACATATTGCTACATGACTTTTCATTTATTGCTATTAATTATTACAGCTTTTTATTATCACTTTTTTTGCTAGCGTAAAATTTGAACCAAAATCTAATTAATGTTTTCTGCTTTTTCTTAAGTGAAAACATGTTTTAAATGTGACAAAGGGATGGCATTTTCATCGCCTTAAATTCTAGGTGTTGTTATGAAAGCTTTGACTAGTATTGAATAAAATTTAAAGTATCACTAACTATTTTTGTGAAAATATCAATTGACAAGTTAAAATTGAAATTTGGCTTGCCAGTACAGGAAAATGTACAAGTCAGACAACCGATTGCAGAACATGTGGCTTTGAAGTTGAAACTTGGCCCAAAGTATTTTTACTATGCAATATTAGGTGGCCCGATAGTTCAAATAGGCCACTGACTGTCACTCCTGAGGTCCAAGGTTCGATCCTGGGTATTTTTTTTTATTGTATTTTGTTTTTAGCAAAACATAGATCACAGTTACATAATATGATATATATATATATAAAATAACAGTTTATCAAAATTAAAATATCATTTCATATAAATAATAAATTAAACAAATTTAGTTAAAAGACTCAGATGAGGCATTGGATAAATGTATTTAAAAAAATAAATAAATAAATTAATAAAATCACATTTCAGATTAAGACTACAACAGTCAGAATTATAATTAGTACAGAATATTGTTTAAAGTTACTGATAGACATGATATAAAAGAAAATAAAATAATTTCAATAAAATTTAAATACAAATGTTTTGATTAAAAGTGATCTTTGGTTACAAGGATAGCCCATTAAGCTGGTGTGCTTATTTTCAATGGGGTCCTGTTAACCAAATAGATGGAAACAAGATGAAACCAGAGAGACATTCATTCCTCAAATAAAAATAGACAATGAGATAATCTTCAAATTGTTCTTAGAATCTTATAATCACAGTAGTTTTGCATTATCACAGGAAGAAAGGTACAGGAAAAAATAAGATAACTAAAAAAATAATTAAGTTTGGCGTACTTATGTCGCCACTTAGTAATATAAAAATCACTTTGATGTTGCGCAGCCCAAATTGAAGCAATATGGCTTTTAACAGAAGTTTTATATAAAGTTGGATTTGATATACATTTTACATCATCTGGCAAACTATTCCAATCTTTAATACCATTATAGAAAAAAGTGCTATTACATGTCTTATTACAATGAGGAATTGAAAAATTAAACTTATTTGATCTAGTGTAACACTCTTGGGATTTTTCAGAGACACTTTCAGTGTTTCCAACCTAACTAAAGGTGTACTGGTAAGAAATCCAGGTAATCCTCGCATGTATCAGTGCTATACACTGGGCATGTAAAAGAACCAGGGGTGTTTTCGATAAGACTTAAGAGCTAGGGACTGGTTCGCGGATTCCCTTGTATCTCATAGCTTTCTCTCAAGTGACTAATCTAAAGTCATTTCTATGTCCCCGCGAAGGGTTTACATTAATGGAAGATAGAAAATAGATAGATATTGGTGGGAAATATATCAAAGAACCCCTCTTTATGCTTTGACTCTGAAACCACAACAGTTCTGATAATTCTGTGATATGCAGTGCTATGATTAGCACACGTTTCAGATTGTCACTGTGCCAGCAGGAACGTGTTCATGGTGTAGTGTACTGTAAAGATAAAGGCAATTAGACACAGTAAAACAGACCTAATATTTCGCTATTTTAGACCTAAATTATTCAAAATCATCTGGGAATTGGATAGCACAAATTCAAGGATATTATTTATCAAATTAGCAGTCACCTTCTATTAAACGGTCGCACCCGCACTGCAACCTTGACCGACGTCATTTTTGTCTGCTGTCAATGCGTAACTTTTAAGCCATTTGAAGGATTAATAAAGGAAAGAATGCTAAAACTGCGCACTTCCTCAAAATTTTGTGTTACTATCCGCCATTTTCGTATCACGTGATACAAAAATAATAAAATCCATCTTGCACGTACTTTACCGGATCTTTTCTTTATGATATCCCGTGACAAAACCGAAAACAGTGGAAAAGAGTACATCGTGCAATTGTTTCAAAATTAGTTTAATTGCTAATTAATGCCAATATTTCACACATACATGTCTCGCAATTAATGTTTTTTTTGGTGAAACTTCAGATGCTTCAGGACTTTCTAAACATTTTATTAATGGACAAAGGTATTACGTGCACTCTATCTACTTAAATGTATAATCTACATAAATTTATTTACAATGTACAAACTCTCAAAGCTTATTTCTCAAAATGTGAGTTGAGTAATAGTAGAAACATATACTAAATTTTACCACTTCTTTTACTGTTAAGCACATTAAATCGAACGTTTTTTTCTTCTTTTTTCCTGGTATGTTGTTTCATGATTCCATGCTGGTGTTCCAAGTTTCATCACGGCACGGATTTATATTACAAATATATTATAATATAAATCCGTGATCACGGTAACAATTCTATTCAGCTTCAAAATAATTTAAAATTAATAATTGCCTTTTTAACATTAAGATAACTTAAGCATTATTCACATTTATACAGTTGTATTAAGATAACCCTTACTCATACAAAACTGGTTAAGCAATTATATCCCCCATTACATAGATTCACATTAACAACCTAATATTACTTAGACTATTAATAATTTTAGCACCGTTTTCTTTTTTTAAACGCTTTGTCCCAGCTTTTATGAACATGCATTCTTGCTGGATTAGGAAGATTTGTTTTTGTGGTTATTATAGACTTTATATAGTTTATTATATTAGGCTTTATTAAGGAAATGCTTATTCTTATCTACAAACACAACTTTATTGTAAAATGACAAATTATCAAATATGTATTAAAAAATAAAGATTAAACAATACGCTGCCACTTGTTTTGATGTAAATTTTAAAATCGTCTACAATGTTATATGATTTGACCTTCTTTATAATTATAATCATACTTAACTTGTTAAAGTTTGTTTTTGCATTTAATAATATTATTACCACAAAAATTAAAAAGAAATAGCTTTTCATGCCATACTGTTGGGGGTTTATTTCCAAGAAGACGTTGATGAAAAATATTTATAATGAACTTCTGACATTGCTTCATTTTTATTCTCTTCAAATATGGTATTTATGTTCATTGTCAATATGTGACGTCACATCCAAAGGGCATGTAATCCTAAAATTCCTAAATTACTTTTCCCCCTCTATTGACTAAGAATATCATCCTTTTTCATTATCAAGCTTGAAATATTTGTTAAATATTAAGGACAGGTAAGCCTGCTAAGCTCTTGAGCTGTAAAATTATGTCCCCTTTTTACATAATTGCTTTAGTAGGTGTGCATTGGTCTATTTAGCAATGGGGAAAACTTGAAGTCTTGCTTTTGTCTATTTTTATTTTTTGTTGTTGTTTTAACAAAATCACATATGTTTGCATATTCTCTAATAAAAATAGCTTTTCTGATTTACAACATGTCACCAAGCCTTAGGAATTCAAATAAACGTTTAACTGAAGTGAAAGTGTCATGTTAGAATTGTCACGGTTCAGAACTGTTCTCTATTTAGGGGAGAAGATCTGTAAGCGGCCGGTTTTGCTCAGTCGATAGAGCCGCGGAACGGTCAGGCTTCACATTTTTCTCACCCTGTGACATAATATTCTTTTTTATTTTTATCCTTTTTTATTTACCTAATAAATAACGTCTATAGTCTAATGACGGGAACCGAATTCGGACATGGAACAAGAGGTATGACTAAAATAAGCAACGGAGATTTTTTTTGCGCAACGGAAATATTTTTTTGCAAAACAGGCACAACGTATTATTCATGAAAATAATTGACATTCAATTCATAAAACAGATTAACTGGGTGAAAAAGTAAGTTTGTTTTATTCAAATGTATCACAAATATTTGCAATAGGTTGTTCTGAAGGATTCTGTGACGATTCGATTTTTTTGTTACCTCAACTGAGCCTCAATCATCATCAAACTTTATCAGGATGCTTGTCTAGGTTATTGCTCGGATGAGTTCGAACATGGATCATCTCGGATCAAAAACTAGGTCACAGGAGGTAAAAAAATAGAAAAATCTTGTTAACAATCTAGTGGCTACTGTTTTGATCCAAATATCCTTGAAATTGGTCTGAAAGTTTGTTTTGATGATTTCTAGATCAAATTTGAAAATGGGCCACCTTGGGTCAAAAACTAGGTCACACTGCTCAAATATGGAAAATCCTTGTTAACATTTTAGTGGTCATATTTTTGACTCACCTGTCATGAAGCTTGGTCGGGATGCTTGTATAGGTAATTGCTCGGATGAGTTCGATCGGTCAGGTGAGCGATCTTGGGCCATTTTGGCCCTTTTGTTACATTTAGTGGTTCTATACCTAAAATCCCCGGTAAGTGAATTGTAAACAAATATGCAATCTTGTGTTTAATCAAATAGTTTACTCTTTTATGAGTAAGTAAACAATACGTAACGAAGAATTGATTATATTTAATAATTGATTCATTACTATAATTTGATATTATAGACATATTTTTGCTATTTGAAAAAAAAACCAGAACGGTTCGTCCTCAAAATCATTCGAACATTATGCAATTAGCACCAATGTTTCGACCCAATATCAATATTTTTAGGACACTTGATTTCATCACCTTTGTGTAAGTATACCAATCATTACATTTTTTACTTTTAATGCAATTTATTTTGCTTCCACCAGACCTTTCAATATTTGTCGTAACAGACAAACCTTTCAGACATGGCATAACTTTGTGAGCTCTACTTTTTTCACAAAAATATGCAAACAGCAAATAAACAACTAGCACATACACATAAAATTGATTAGAGCTTCGCATATTCAACTGTAATAGAGAACAATTGTCAAAGCTGATTTTGTACATTAGTAACATACCTTTGACAGTTCACATCATTTGGCGGCGTCTTTGATGTGCAGCATCAACATTTAACTTGTTCGTACTTATCAACATTGAGAAAAGTGGGGACATGTATTGTTTCTTACCTTATATAAGCAATGTAAAAGAGGAGACATATATTATCAGAACAGTTCCGTGATAAAATGGTAATATGATACGACTACAATTTTAGTGGTCACGAGTTTGGCTCAGCGTTACTTCATATGAAATTGAAAATATTACTTTTTTGGTAAAACTTGGCAAAAGCTGTTGCCTCTTAATTTACACATAATTTTGCTCATAAATTGGTTTCCACGGAATTTGGATTGAGTGATTTTTAAAACAAAATATAACTATCATTAAATATTGTGAACAAGTTGCGTGTGTAGGAATGGCAACCACAACCACTGTGTAGTAACGGAATCAACATCTGTTAGTCAAAGGGTTATTGCAATTACATGTACCTTTTACTTACGATCACAGTGTCATTTCTTGAAAGCTGAGATCATTCATATTGTATCATCTTTTGCAGCCACAGGAAGTAGATCTGTTTCTACACGAATAACTATGCGTAACTGGTTAAATTTATTTTACAAGTGTACAGATAGCATAAAACTGGACGCCAAGAAAAGAACACACGTATACTATTTAGAGCAGTGAGAAAAACTAATGCACCTTTTTATTATTTGTTATAAAAAGTCACATCATTACTATGCGAGCAGTAGATTGATACTTGACATACATTTGGTATACGAAATTTCGGAAGGAGAAATAAATTCACACTTTGTTACGGGGATCCAGATGCCATCTTTGATACGTTCAGTTTTTGCCTTATTCCAGACACTAAAAACACACACCCATAAAAGCTGGTGTTGAGTATAATCTTTAGAAGTGAAGGTATTAGTGCAGATAGCGCGTCTTTGATCGCTTCATTTTAATATAGAAATTTGGTGGATTATAGCGGTTTTTGTTACGACTGCCTGAAACTTAAGCACCCGTTAAGCAAAAAAGTAAAGTCTGTTTAATGGTTAGCTACCTGGCTGGGCTGATAAGCAAGAAATGCAACACCCTTTGTTCCACGGACCACCTGGCGAGGCTTTCAGTATGGAAAGTGATGTGCTGCAGACGTTAGGTAAAGATTTCTGGTAAAAAATGCCAGAAAAATTGTACTTTCAAATTATTGTTCTAACTAAAGGTGAAGCATAAATTTGTATTCTTTACGTTTTTTTACATTAAAGTAAATTTTCCTATAGATACTTAAAAAAGGATAAATTGTACAGCATTACAAATAATCTTTTACTGATTCTGTTACATACAATTTTAGATTCCCCCTTGTAGGTCCAGTACACTAAGACATTTTTTTTAACAAACCTACGTACAATGCATTTAGAATTCCTATCTTATTCAACATTTTATTTGATCTATTCAAGAAACATCAACTGTTGTTGTTACGGAAGGTGTGATAGACGTTTACAGGCTCATTCGAAGTGCTAAGGACAAGTACTTGCCTCTCTTATACTTGCAGTCAATATATTTTTGTCAAGATAAGCGTATCCAAACGATATCTGTAGACGCAGACCGGAAGTGCTCTCTGCCATACAAAAGTGATACCCGCGGCCGTTTTGAAATAAAATCAATAGTATATTCAGCACACCCATGAATATTTCTCGTTTCAGAAGGAAGGGTTAGACGTATAGAAAAAGACAAATTGCTTATGTCCATGTTAGAAGTCCATTTCTGCGCAGGCGAAATGACAAAATGTCAATGAGAGACATTTCTGGCCAAGTATTTAGAAAAGAAAAATATTTCCACCCGGATGTTAGTTCATCCGCGTGTAATGGTGGCTGTTTGCCTTTTGATGACTGATATGTCAGCAAGTTTGATGAATCGATTTTGAATGACATAAAACCTGAATTATTGATGACCTAAGTTTTCAATAGTAAACTATATCGTATGCTACATTGTCTCTCCACGACTCGAGATAGGTTAAATATAAAAGTTACATCCAGTAATCTGTGGCTACATTACACTGTAAAGATTT